GCGTCTCCTAGCACTTAGCTATAGTCGCTTATTGTAGTTTATGTTACCATATTTGGGACCCTCTGCTCGTGTACTATAGCTATGCTTCCGGACTCTTCTGGTACTGTCTAGGACAATCCGTACTACTCCAGAACGGTCTAGACAGGTCTATGCCTTACTCATCTCTTACTCATCCTATGGTGCGATATGTCGCAATTCTTTCGTCGTTGTATTATTCATCGCACTATGGTACATGTGACTAACCACTCTTCGATTAGTCATGGACACTTCTCTGTAGTATATAAGGACTTCAGATTTCGTCCTCCCTCTTCAGTCTTTCCTTACTGACTGAAGAGTGAGTACTTCGTTACACCTACCTCTAACTTGTAGTTACTTACTTAACCTTTGTAGTCTTGCTTCGACTCTAGGTACAGTTCGTTGCTACAATATAGTCTTTCCTTACTGACTGAAGATCTTGCTTCGACTCTAGTCGGATCTAATCCTTGTCTTCACAGCCCCGAGTTTATCAGCGGGACAGAGCATTTGGTATGAGATGTGGAGCGCTTCGTGGGCAGGTCTTTCCATTACCGGCAATCCATCACGATATGGTGTCATCACGACCAGCCAGCTGGACTCTCCCCGACCATTCCCCCGGGCTGCAGCTGATTGCGAGCTGGGGATATACAGTCGACACCCTCCTAACCCATACCCCTGGTAACCCATAAACTCTAAAAACCCATAGGATTTTGGCTTTCCCAAGTCGGGATAGGGGGAATTCGACCCCATAACCCATAGGTCCCCAGTACCCCATAACCCATAGCCTTCTAGGGCTCAAAACCCATACGGTAATAGTGGTCACGTTGAGATTTCGCTCATCAATAACCCACAAAGTACTTGATACATGCTTCCTTGTGTCCTCCCAGCATCCATCCATGCTTCAACCACATTGTGGGTAGCTTAGTGTGTTCGAAATCCCATAGCGCTCCCTCGAAGGGTCAGTAGACGCCTGTTCAGCGCTCGCTAACTGGGACTTATCAGGGCGCTTAGAAGGCGCTAAAGTTCCGGTAGCCCATAACCCCTCAAAACCCATATATTTGGGCCTGTCCCGAGGGCTATGGGTTAAGAGGGTGTCGACTGTAGCCACATCAGCTTGATCCACCCAGCCGGGCCAAGCTCCGTGATTTTACAGCCAAGCCAAGCCAGCTCTCAAGCCCAACTCGAATTGGCGGCAACACTAAACAGCTTTACTTTCAAAATAGACGCTGGTCTCCATCTACCTCCACGGACCGATCATGATCACGCACATACACAACGCGACGACCGCGACTTGCTCACTGAGCCCCATCTCCCACCTACGGGACTCTGATCCCAGCTCCTACGTATGCATGAAGGATCTATATCTCCTTTTCTGTCTCTTCCAGAAGATATTCTCCTGCGTATATTGCTTAATCTTTCAGCAGATGACATATCGCGATGTCGACAAGTGCATCTTCACTTGCTATCTTGCAGCCGTCAAACTCACTGACACCATTTGTAGACCTGCAAATTGATGAGCGAGCTAAGCTGCACTCGCGCAGTCCGGTACAAGGTAGAGCTCGATGCCATGGGTCTCGTCGATAGTATCACGGCGACGCTGCCTATGGCCGAGCGTCACGACAGACTTGTATTGTATCGCAACGCATGGCGCAATGCTTCATTTGCCTGGGACAGGAACTTCCCCGCTCATCGTCGCCCAGAATGCTGGAACTGGACTGGTGGCGTGTTACCCTATGTCCTAGATCCGGAATCTGCGGATGAGGCAGCGCTTCATCTCTATCGTCCAGCATCCCCTGGCAGAGGGACTGCGGAGTTCATTTGGTCTCTACCTCGAGGAACCGTTCAAGCGGGCTACGGAATTTATGGATGTGTAGTCGACATCTCGCAGGATCTGCTGGCGCTCGCACTGGTCCCCGGCCCTTTTGTGGAACAAGGGTAAGCTCCTTTAAGTCATCGCTCGATTTCCCCAGACTGCCTCTGATACATTGTACTAGGACCTGGAAGCTACAACTCGTTTCAATCACGAAGAATGGGGTACCACATCCAGAGGCATCGAGTCCGCTTCTCGACGGTCCCCTGTTCCACTCGCGTCCGAGGCCCAAGGCTTGCGTAATGAGGGTCTCCGGGAACACTATTGGGCTACAGATGATGAATCACTCCTGGGAATTGCTTGTGTGGGACTGGAAGGAAAGCTCTTTGCTCTGGGTAGGCACGTGTCCTTTAAATACGCACATTCCTCGTACTCACGATGTCGGCGTGCTAGCACTCGAGGCGTATCGACTTCCTCCCTTTCATCCTCCCTAGTCCCTCATATATGATTGTTATGCCAACACAGCAGATGTCCGAACGGATACTGCAAGTATATCGTCTAGACGTCGAAGCTGAGCCTTTCGAAGTTGACTCCAAAGCCCGGGACCGAGATCCCATGGCCACTCTTCGTCTTTTCGCCTTCGCCGATGGGCTCTTTTCTGACGCCGAGCTGATTCCTCCGAACAACAATCACGATATATCCACCGATCGTCCTTCTTTTAAGCACCAGACTGATCAGACGATTTTCGCGTTGTACCTTCATCTTCAGAACATCGCCATAGGTCACGCTAACTTTGGCCACGTCGAGAAGTTCCTCCTTCTCATCTCCATACCCTCCATCCTGAAACGATTGGATCACATCCGTGGTCTCGCGAATCCCGATACCGTCTCTACCACGTCGACTCCCGCGTCTGCCCGTGTGGTAGAATGGGACGAATGGGGCTCAACCGATACTCGTCTCATCGCCCTCACGGGTGCCTTTCCGTGGCGAGGCCGGGTCCGCACATGCGGCTCCCGCTGCGCTGTGCAATTCGGTCCAGATCCGCGCTCAAATCAGGATTGCGTCCGAGTCATCCTCGTCGACGCGCATCCTGCTGCACCTTGCATCCCGAACGAAGGGCTCGAACAGGCGCGCCGTGCGTTGAACCTTTCGCAGACGATCGCAAGCCCGCGATTGTTCAAGGAGCCGGTCCGCACAACGCTGCCTATCAGGATCTCCTATAGAGAGCTTCGCCCACCAGTCCCCGAGCCGATTGCTGTTGGTTTGCTCGGTGATGGACTTGTGTTTCGATACCGGCCGTCCGTGCACATACATCCTCCGGAGGGCGGATTGTTTGGGTTCTATGTATGAACAACTGTAGCAATGACCACAGCGAGATGCCGAGTATCCGGCAGAGAATTTGTATAGTGACCACGTATCCGTTACAAGACGCGCCTCCCACGCGCGAGGCCGCGAATTGTACTTGAAAATTCATGCGACTCGGGATGGTATACTGTGATACTACTAGGTATGTGAACACTATCATGGCGGCCGTGACAATCCTCAGGATCCCTATACTGGCCCAGCGAAGCTCTGGAAGGTTGTCCTAGCACAGGAAGGAGAAACAAGGGTGCCATAGACATGTTACGAAGTGTCAAGCGAAAAGGCAGGACCCAGGACCCTGGTCCTGCAAAAATGAATCTGAGACCCTAGCTTAAGGTTCGGATGACACCGGTGCCCGGAGCGGCCCGAACGGGATGATGCTCCCCACCTCTCAGCCTTATTCACGACGCTCATCGTCCAAGCCTTCCAGAGAACCCGCATGCAAATCAATTGTGTCATGCACAAGCACTTGAGCCTACTACGACTATCTGGAGCCAGCCATGCACGATACGCTTCGACGAGCGCCGGTCCTTACCCTTTCCCCGCCCACGCACACCCGACCCCACACCAGATATTCCACCTTCCGTTGGGAGCAAGCCAAAAGGAGATCAAGGCACGTTGTATGTATCTCACCGCAGCATGCTCTCGGAACCATGCCTCATAACATACGACGTTCGCCCACGTTGTCCTTCAGACTATGATTTGGTGCGGGTACACCACCCAGACGCCCCTTGCGTGCGGGACCTATCCCCGGCCATACGGCGGTCACGGTTCCAAGCTATAACAGCGGCATACGACATTTTACGAGGAAAGAAAAGTGGAAGCTTCGGTGGCACGGGCGATATCTACCGAGACGAGCTGCTACGGAGGAAGCGTGCATGGGCTGCACACGAGCAGTCCCGTCGTCGGTCGGGGCCTCTGTGGGAGGAGACACCAGCGCGCGGGTGGACAGCGAGCGCGGATGATAGATGGAAGGACAGGGTCATTCTGTTCGTTGGTATCCTGGTGCGTTTACCCTTCGTCGGAGTAGAGTTAAGGGCTCGCCTGAAGTGGGGTATTGGTGCTAGGCTCTCGGGGCGGGACTGGGACCCGCATTGATCTGGCCGTCGTACACTGCGTCCCAACAGGCTCATCTATCTGCATCGAGGAACCTCGCACAGGCGAGGAAGGAGGCACGCGAGTTTGGCGAGGAACGACGGAAAGAGATCAATCGAAGGGTGCAGGAGTATAAGGAGAAGCAGGCGAAGGAACGACCGCCGGAAGAAGTCATGTCTTCGTCAACCAGCTAAGTCGTTGTATCTTTATCACTTTATATATAGTAGCCTGCTTGTATAGACAAGGACGAAGCCATTCCCGTCTAATCCAATAGTATTACCGGAGGCTATCCCATCCTTTCATCGTTTTCGCACGGTGGTAGTAGCTTCCAGGCTTCTGCGGGGGACGATGGACAGAATCTCGAATGCCGGTCGCAGGAATGAGATTGGTAAGAATGGTCGTGCAGATGTCGAGAGACCATAGATTCAACTGTAGCTTCACGTACATGGTCATTCCGGCTGTTGCTCTGGAGCAGGTCTTTGTCGTTGCCGGCATTATGAAGGGCAGCCGGAGCTCGAGCGATGGGTCCATGGGAGTCCACGCTCACTGATCTACCTAGGAACAGACATCCGGTTCCGTGGTGTCTCGAGCGCGGAGCTACTGCGAACCTACAACGATGACCGACCTTGCTTGCGAGTTAGTGCTGGAGAAGTACCAAAGGCAATCAATATGCCTAGAGTGGTCTCGCCGTAAAGAAACCTGATTAGTCTTTGATGGTGTAACATACATATAACCTGGGGTACAGCGTACGAGGGTCAGCGCTACATCGTTCGCTCAGGTTGTTGAGAACGCACCCAAGGCAGCCATGGAAGTACTGTGGTGGCACTACCGTGCCCTGCAAATGACCTCCCCAGGCAACCTCAGCTGCAGCGCCTCCCTCGCCTCTAGCCATTCGTTCTCCCTGTCCTTCGTCTTCACGATCGCAATCTCGCCCATGCGCAGCGGCTTCACGTTCTGTACCCTCCTGCCCGTGCACAGCCTGCGTATCTCGCTGAGTTCCATGAATATGGGTTTGCTCGGGTGGCTGATGAGCTCCATATCCGAGAGCACGGGACGGTCGTCGCGGTACTTGAGGTCGGCCCATATGCGCTTGTGCGACTCGGGTGCTTCGTGGAACTCGTCGGGGGAGGGTGCCTCAATGGTACCGCGAGTGACGTTGGAGAGAAAGCCTGAGCGGAGGAGGATGGAGAGGATGGCGAGGTTTTGGGTCGTGTGGTGGACGGCGATGTGCTGGAGCCGCGCACGGAACGCATTTTGGATGTGCGAGCAGAGATAGTGTGGGAGGACCATTTTAGGGGGTTCCTACGACCTTCCTAGCTGCAATCGTGAATAATGTGGTTCTTAGGAGGGGGATGAGGACGTACGCGAGGAAGTCGACGGTGAGTGCGGCGAAAGTATTCGCTGGTCGGGACGAAGTTGATAGACGCCCATGATGCCGCCCGAAAAGGTAGATGTGACGTCGAGTCTCCGCAGCCTGCAGCACGACCACCATGGCCTTCCTCGACCTCCCAGACGAATTGCTTGCTCAAGTCGCCATACATCTCTCTTTCTGCGACCTTCTCCACCTGCAGCAAGCATGCACTCGCCTGTTCGACGTCGTCAATTCTACCGCGGCGCTCCAGTATGCCATCGAGCTTCGCGTGGCCGGCATGATTGACAACCAGGCGTCACATCTTGTTCCGGGCGATCGACTGCGCATCCTACTAGAGAAGGAAAAGGCATGGAGAGAGATAGACTTATCGGACAGGAAAGTACTCCCGTTGAATCACAATCCTTCCGGCATATACGACCTCACCGGTGGCGTACTTCTGCTTGGCGAGAGGAAGCACTCCGAAGGAAACACTGGTACGGACGGTGTACACACCGTGCACTTGCATTCGGCATTTGAAGAGGGAGCCGCATCACACACGCGCAAGCTATGGTCGCACTTGGATCTAGGCAAGCAAGTCATAGACGTCGGACTCGCAGTCCATGAACATGACTTAATTGCAATTGTAACATACTCGTAAGTATCATGCAACGTCAATTCGAGCCGAAGTTACCTGATGTATACTCTGCCTAGATACATCCACGAGGCGCAATTATGGGCTTCCATAGACATACATTTAATTCAGCACTCAACTGGCCAGCCTCACCCTGCCGCAGCAAAACCTGTGCTGCACTTTGACAATGTTCACTACCTCCCCGGGCATTCCAGTATTATGCTCGAGGTTGCGGGGGATACGCTCTGCTTCCTCTTCAACAACTACTTTCCGTTCGTCAGCGCTGACCCGGTCACGATGCTCATCTTGAACTGGAAAACCGGCCATCCCAAAGTGGTGAGCATCGGCTTTTTCTGGCAGTTGCGAAGGTGTAACATGAACTCAGGGACAGAAACGCCTCTACTCCGATCCCACCATGTTTAACTCTTTCGTCCTCCTCTCCCCAGATACCGTCGCCCTCCCTATAATCCCGAACAACTCCATCGAAATCTGCTATTTCGGCAAGGAGCTCGCCGCGCCGCCTCCCCCAGCTCCCGCTACAGGTGATGCCGAGGCCATTGACGCAGCCTCGAGCCTTCCCAACGTCCCCCTTCTTGATACAACCTGCATCCTCGAGCTCCCCCCGCTGGACCACGGCGCGCTTGTTCTGCGCATGACCTGCCGCTGCGAGCCGAACCCGCGCGGTCCCTCGAAGTCCGCAACTCACGTTGACACGCGCAATCCGTTCTACTCGGACCCGGAGGAGGCGATCATGGTCCTCCACCTGCACATGCGCCTCCCGCTCGGCGCGACGCGGGTGTACACGATGATCGTCCACCGCTCGTCCCTCCTCAAGATCACGCGCTACGCGCTCGAAGCTCGCGAGCAGGCGAAAGCGCGGGGCGAAGGCCCCGAGCCACTTAGGGAGTCTCCCCCTCCCGCGACGTCCGCGCCGATCGTGGCGAACTTCCTGCCGCATCAGCCCCAAGACAACCTCAACATCCTTCCCCTGAACAACCACCCCGTCTTTGCGCCCCTTTCGCATGGGGACGAGGAACGCGACGATGCAGACCTGATATCGCCCCCGTCGGTGCCCTGGAAAGACTGGGGCCCGGCGCACACCCGGTGGTTCCAGGACGAGATCTCGGGCACGCGCTGGATCACGACCACGTGCGGGCAGCGGTTCGTGCGCGTACGGAGCGACGGACGGTTGTACGTGTACGACTTCAACCAGCGCGCGATGCGGCGGTTCCTCCAGCAGCGTGCGCTCGCTGGGGAGTCTGTGGGCAGTCGCAAGGGGGAGAAGGTCATCGCGAAGGGGGTGCGGGAGGTGTGGGCGTGGAGTGGGAGGGTGGAGAACGTGAATGAGAATGGGCAGGAGATGGAGGACGAGGATGAGGACAACGAGGTGTGGGAGATGGCGGAGGACATTGATGCGGAAGCGGATGCGGGGATCGAGTTACTTCTGCCCATCGATGTGCCTCAGGACCACATCCAGGACGGCGCTGGGGTTCTTGTGGACACTGTGGGAGAGGGGGAGCAGGCGAACGTAGAGGCGGGTGTTCCGACGGCGTTGACAAACGAAGGCGGGGCGGCTTCCCATCACGACGGAGCCCTCTTGCCCGAAGCTGGCCCGAGCACAGACGAGGACGGAAACGATGATGAGGAGGAGGATCCGAGGTTGCGGTTGAAGGTCGTGCTGGGTACGACAGTCATCGGGTACTCGTCCGCGTGGGCGGGGGAGATGGAGAGCGCGTTACCATACATTGAGAGGAGCGTTCCTATCTCTGAAGAGTATGAGAGCGTGTTGGTCGATGAGGACATCATCGTTGGATTGAAGGTGGGTGTATGGCATCGTGTCCTGGTTCCCGTTTGCTAATATCTGCGTTGTATCGCAGATGGACGCTAATGGGAGGCATATCAAAGAGGTTGTTTTGCATCGCATGGGAGGACCCTTGTATTGATCTGCTTACATGCCGTGGACTATATTGGATTGGCGTGATACCCCGTGTGTCGTGCTACTTGTCTATCAAGGGTACGAAGTCAACAAGACGTTTTCTATTGAGATGCGCCCTCGATGTACGGCCGGCATGAAACATGCCACCATTGTAGAGGCGCAATCGGTAAGTGAGCCAGTACACTGCGTTGCTTGCAAGTCGGACTCTTCAGTAATCATCCATGTCAGATGCACAACACAAGCCACGTAGATCCAACTCTCCTCGTTCATGAGGCCGACAAAGTCGTCCTACACATCTCTCATTGCGGGCTAACATGCCGTCAGCAGTCACGTCGCGAGCATGTTATAAGTGTGCTTCTTACGATGTCTATCGGACCATGGGCGCGACGCCCATTTGCTGGGAGACGCTTCGCAGTATAAAGGTTTGATGTATTGTCAGCAGGTGCCAGAACGCTTGTTGCTCCTTGGGACACGACCTGCATCTTTGTCACCGAGACACTACGCTGTCCTACCAACTTTAGCACCGCGAATCGCAGTCAACTTTTCACGGCTCTCCCCGAACCGCCAACACATTCCTACACACATAAACCTAACTATAAGCAGGTGAGCACCCCTTAGTCAGCAACGTAGAACAAGTGCAATGACAGATGTTGTAGCTTCCTCCTGAGTCAGCAACGTACTGTTCCTTCACGATGTCAGAGCAGAGTGCCATCCCGCTAGAGTCTGTCGGAACACCCCGGGCCTCGTCGTCGAAATCGAGACCGCGTTCGGTCACTGACAATACTCACAGTCACCTAGCAAGCAAACAAGTGTGTGCATTTTACCATACATAACGTGACGCTCATGCCGACGGTGGACTTCATAAGGCAGCAGAGACACAAGGAGTCAATTTGGTTCCGCAGTGGACAGCCCCTTCGCGCGAGGTGTGTGCAGCAGTGCACTTGCCCATGTAGTATGCGGCATGCTGAGCGAAGCTACTTCTAGGATGCTGTAAACGAGTTTTTGGGGACGTACACGGAGGAAGACAAGGCGGGAGCCTGGCAGGAGAGCGCAGAGATCATCAAGGACTACAGCGATGAGATGGTCGCACGCTGGATAGCCGAGATGGATAACCTACTCGTTTTCGTAAGGCAACCCCTCTCATTGCCATATCCCCGGAGGACTTACAACGACGACGTTGTCTAGTCTGGCTTGTTTTCCGCAGTCCTCACCACTCTTGTCGCCCAAACATACCCAGATCTTCAACCAGGTTCTCCGGACCAGACCTTAGCCGTGTTGCAGCAGATATCCTTGCAACTAGCGAGCTTCTCCGTGAATCAACCATTTGTCAATTCTACACGGCCCGCGTTCACGTCCACAGACGAGACCCTCCCCGCCGTATCCTCTTCTACGGTTGTGCTCAACACACTATGGTTCTCGGCCCTCATTCTTAGCCTTTCCACGGCTCTAGTGGCGATCATGGTCAAGCAATGGTTGAGCGAGTTTCGCTCTGGTCTCTCCGGTACATCATTGGACGTCGCACGTCTGCGACAGTACAGGCTGAACAATCTCGAGAGGTGGCACGTCGGGGATATAGTGGCCATTCTCCCAGTGCTGTTGGAGGTTTCGTTAGTTTTGTTCCTCGTGGGACTGCTCGTACTGCTCCGTGACCTTCATCCGACAGTCGCAATCGTCGCCACCATTCTGATCTCGGTCACATTCGTCATCATGGCTGTCACCACCCTGCTTCCGGTCTTTTGGAGGGACTGTTGTTACCTGTCGGGGCCCACCTTTTTCGTCGCCACCGTCGGAAGTACCGGCTTCAACAACTTCGTCAAACCCGGTCTAGACGCGTTGGTGAGCCTCCTGGCTTATGCCCCTGACTCCAGGACCAGTCTACCCGCCTTTCGCAAGACGCTAGGAAAATTCCATGACCGCTACATGCGTCAGTTTGGCCCGACGGCTTACCGTGGTTCTCTAGTCTGGTCGTTGAGGGAACGCTCTCTGGTCCGCTCGTCCTCCGCTCGCCTTGATGCGGACATGATCTACACTGCATACAGTTACACGACCGACCTTCGCTATCTCGCCGGGGCTGCTGCAATTAATCTGGTCACCCTCCCATCCGCCGTTGCGATTCCCTGCTTCAGAAGGATACTCGGCTTGATCCACTTGGATTCCGGATTCGTCCAGAGGGGAGGGAGCGTGTCGATGGATGCGGATATGCGCCGCATTTCTACGCTATCGTACAAGTTCTGGATAGCAGCAATGTACCAAGCAATGTACTTGCCTGAGGCTCTCGTTACACCCATCAAATTACTCATTGCGGTCAACAAACCTTCCGCAGGTATGTACTCGACTGACGTCAAACTTTCCGCTCAATCTCATGACGATGACCAGGCGGAGTAGACGTCAAGGAGGAAACTGTGTTTGACGCAAGATATCGTCAAGGCGTACCTTCAGCGACCCTGGTCCCCTGGGATGTCGGCCGACACGGTAAGTGCCTACATGTCTATTCCAGACAGCCTCGACTCACCACGCTATAAGTGAGTACAGCAATACAGCTGACCCTCGATCGAAGGAGAACGCACAAAGGTCCAGCGAGCTTGACGAGAAGGCTTGACGAAGTCCTCTTCAATGCTTTCAACCTCTTGATCGGTTACTGCATGACTTCTCTCCTATCTCCAGATACCACAGGAGCTAGAGGCAAAGAAGCCGAGGTTAGGGAGTGCGCACAGGCCACAATTGTGCAATTAAAGGGCAGTCTTGCCCTGCAGCGGCGATGGACGTCTGGTATGTTGTCCGCCGTTGCATCCATCCTCGAGAGGGTCCATGAGTCGGACCTCAATGGAAGCAATCTTCTTACGAACGATCTGCTTAACGCCGCATTGGATGCTGCTCGGGCAAGTGCAGAAGATGTGGACAACATGGACGCCGCTCAACGGCTGGAAACAGTAGTCGAACGCCATCAGGGCACTTCGGAGCGACCCGTCTCACACTCATTTTCTTCTTGTGAGCTGAGTCTAGTGCGTCCTCAAAGCAGCAATCAATTAACCTAATTGTTGGATACAGCGGGCGCGGCCCCCACATCGAGATCCAAAGACTCTGAGTCCCATGAACAGCTTTTCTATGTCGACGAAAAGCGCATGATGATATAGTGGTATCTATGTGGCTTGCTACGAGTCACTAGACTGCTGCTTAGCTAGAACTATGCTGTTGTACACCTATTCAAGGCAGATGGATCTGTTTAAAGGGATGGGCCCGAGCTCGCTGAGGTCGACTGTCCGAGCTGCCAGCATGGCGTAGGGCGATTAGTTGAAAATTTGATCCACGGAGAAAAGGACCGTTTACCTTGCATTTCCGGAGTGGGCTGCGTGCGTACACGACTGAGTCTGACTAACCGTGGGCATCGACGCTCAAGGAAATTGTCATCCGGGCCTATACACTCTCACTTGAAAGACAAGTTTCCTCGAAGTCCCATAATGCTACAAACAACCGAAGTACACCCAAGAACGAAAGTCGGATATCGTGACGCAGTCTTCCCACTGATGACAGTCAATCAAACGCCTAGCGGCCTCGCCGTCGTCCCTATTCGCGTATTCCGTCTCGACGCCTTTCCACCGCCAGGCTTCTCCATCGCCGACTTGAGCGCGCGGATAGTCGACACGATCTCTCCTGCACACCAAAATCAATCAATCATACGGCGCTAAGTCGGAGAGAAGGGCAGTGCACTCACCGGCAAGCTTGGGGCTCTCCGCCTCGAACTCATACCGCTTGTTCCGGTCTGCACCACTGTGCACGACGAGCTTGAACGTTGAGCTGTTCTTGCTCGACTGCTGGCATGCAACCACACTCTTGAGGTGGTACGAGGACGTCTTGCCACTGTCGAACACATGCTTTGCCTTCGTCACCGTAGGGATGATCTTATTCGTGACAGTAAGCGGATTGAGCATCAATGAGAGGGAAGACGGGATACGTGCATGAATGTAACCGCCATCAATGGCAAGCATACGAGCGCTGCGAGTGACCAGCATTGGCATCTTGCGGTACACGGTGTATTTCTGCGGAACCAGCCTTTAGTACGGGAATAGCATCTCAGGGGAACGTCTCAATTACCCTGTACGCATTCATGTAGTCGAGCACTTGGCTCATGTGCTGCTCTTGAGCGGCGGTATCCGTGGTGAATATTGACGCTAGAAGAGAAACAACGTTGTTCAACGCGTCTTGCATGGAGTTCGCCCCCGAAAGTGCTCACCATTCGGGTCGGTCGTGGCGCCCTTCCTCTCCCGAACCTCTACGCCGTACTCGCGGAGCATATTTTTCCTCATGAGGATGAGCTCGCGCTTGCCCTGCAAGCTGCGTACCGTACGGTCGAGCGGGATGTTCATCTTGACGTCGCCGACTTCGACGACGAGCGCGTAGTCCTTGGGGTCGTTTAGCTTGCGCTTCTGGATCACGGCGTCCAGCACCTCGGCCATGTACATCCCGCCCGAGCTATATTTCAACGCAGTTAGACGCGGAGACAGTTGGCTCACTTGGGCGACGTACGCTTGAATAGTCGTCGAAACATGGCCTGGCTCATCTGCAGCGCTGGCGATACGGATACGGAGGAAGAGCGAAGGTCCGTGACTGGAGGACGGACCAAGCGAACTGGGGAATATGACCGATGAGCCAAGCGAGCCTCCATGGAAACCAGTACTTATTCCAAGCAGGGTCTCTGCAGTCGGAGGAACAAGTGTTCCGGCGTTGGTGGTCGCGTTGAGGAGGCCGGTCGATTTCTTCTTCACCACGACGCGGGATATTCTGCGTTGGATCTTCGACTCGAGGATCTTGTTCTGCTGAACTACAAGGGCATGGTGTCAGCGGGCGAGCCCGATCAGATGTCCTGCAATTGGACTCACTTTGAGATGGGGTAGCTTCCAGAACGGCATAGGCATCGAAGTTGAACTTCGAAACCTTTCCAGTCCGGTCGGGTGCTGGCAACTGCTGTCAGCGTGGGTAGCGAGCATGTAGAGCTCAAGCGACGTACGAGGGAAATCTTCGTCCACCTCCCCATCCTCTTCTGCTATCCGCATCACCCATCCAGCTGCGGAGCACTTGATCGCCCACTTCGGGTCCTCCTCCCCACTCAACCCCTCGTCAATCTTCGGCAGCCACCCATCCTCCCAATACGTGAACAACGCGAACCCGAGCACCTCCTCGAATGTCGCGTCCTTGCGGACGTTCAGCTCCAGCGCCCGGTTCGCAGGTTCGCGCGCCATAGGGAAGAACACGCGGACGACCATGCTCTCGCTCTCCGCGCGCCCCGATACAGCGCTATACAGCTCCGCAAACGGATTCGACGACGAGGAACTCGACGTCGCAGCCAGCATCGCGCTCAATGCGGACTTCGCAGGACGTACTGGGGCGACCGCCTTCCGCTCGAACATGCCATCGGGCGTCCGCGCACTGGACGACGCAGGCTTGATGGCTAACAGGCCGGGAGGAGGTCGTGTCTGGCTGTTTGCGGCCGTGCTAGGGGCCGGGGTGAGCATCTCGAACATCGCGTCGATCTGTCCCTCGTCGCGCTCGGGCGAGACGGACGGCCGCTCGCGCTCCTTGCCTTCGCGGACGGGGCTCAGACGTGAGACGCGCGCGCTCGTGCTCGGCGGTACCGGAGAGGCCATCATGGAAGATGCGGATGCGGAGGTGGAGATCCCAGAGAGCACCGACGCGTTCTCAGACGCGCTGTCCGAGTTCATCCCTAGTCCTCGACTGGCCGCAAATTCACTTGACGGTTGTCAAGCTACGTGCAGGAGGGAAGAGTATCAGGAGCACTCACGGGTCAAACTCGTCTTCATTGAGTTCCATACTATCCCCATCCCCGTCAAAGTCCTCATCCTCCTCGTCCGCGAGCTCATCATCGCTGCTCTCCACCGGCTCAGGCTCAGGCTCTTCCTCGCTCGACGAGCTGGACTCCTCCGGGTTCAAATTCATCGCGACCATCGGCACCCGTGGAGCTACTCCCGGTGGGTGTGCCCGCGCAAGCAGCCTCTGCCTCCGCCGTCTCTCCATCTCCGCGGCGCCCTTGAAGTTGATGATTGGAACGAACGCTGGTGGTCTTAGCGCATCTGACTGCTGTCCTTCGGTCGCTGCCCCCCCGCCATTCGTCTGCACTGGAGAGGGAGCTGAGCTCTCTCGACCGCGCTCCTTGATGGGTGAACTCGGTGCGTCCGGCTTCGTGGGTGAGATGGGCGTCGCAGAGATGACTTCGGTCGTTATCGGGGTCTCCGTCGTCTGTGCAGCGGGACCATCCTGATCGACGCCGTCTGCCTCCCGCCTCATCGACAGCCTGACGGAGTTGCGCGGCATCGAAGCGCGCTTGCCATTGACCCGCAGTCCCATCATGCCCGTCCGGGAGGGCCCAAGGATAGTTGTGGTGTACTTAAGATTCGCCCCGGGGAAACCTGAGTGTCGCCTACGGACAGTTGGGGCAGACTCGTCGTCGGAAGGGGTGGGGGAGGTAGGCATAGCTACCTCGGGCCATCGCTCGACGTCCGCGAGGCCAGAAGCATCGATATAGGGGTTGGAGTGAAAGCCGGGGTCGAGAGAGATGAGACGAGGGCCATAGGGGTCGTCTATGTTGCGGAGATAGTTGAGACGGAGGCTATGAATGAGATAGCTGGATACGGAGATGGGTATGACAGCACGCACTGATGGGATGGTGGACTCACTCCGTGTCACTAATGAGAGACATCCTAGCAGCTCCTTTCTCACTTGAGTGCTCTGATATTGTGGCTCGCGTGGCGTAGCTAGATGTCGCGTGGGCCCAAGCCCTCTTGGCAGATGCGGCACTGGTTCAGCAGAGTCAACACAAGTATTGAACCAAGTACCGGAAGCTTGTAGTGACCTAAGCGACCCTTCAGCCTCCGGTCGGTCTGAAGTACTAGGTTCTGGCTAGTTCAGAGATCGGAAGTATCTGGTTGCAGGAGACTATAAAGAGGGTCAAGCGTAAAGCCCAAATCTCCGGGAAAGTCGGAGCCTGAGTATGATCGGAATGCTCTGCCGGCGGCACACGTTTAAAAACGACCACTTCCTTCAACCACTGTTAATCTGCCATTCATCCGTGCAATAAATACACACTCGACACTTGATGAATCCAACTGTAGGAAGCTGCGTGCTCTCCTGGACAGTACTAGCATGGCTAAACACCCTCAAGCATAACTCAATGGAGCATCAAAACATACACATGACAACGCAAAACTAAGTCGTGCAAAGCGGAACATCCCAAGCCCAGATTCCTCTAGCCGTCATTACGTCAAGGCATAAGCATACAGGGCATTAAATCGAGTAGCGCTCCTATGATATCAGGTAAGACTTCGACCTAACGAAAGTCGGACAGGAGAAGCCTCGACTTACCCTCAGGATGGCGCCCTTCCACTGGAGCGCAGGCACGACAAGTAAGAACAGGGCCGTCACGATCGCAGCCTCGACGCCGAACGTCTGCAGCGCGCCATTCTTCGTCGCCCACGGCACCTGGAAGTACGCGACACTGAACCCGCCGAGCGTACGCGCGAGGTTCACGAGACCGGAAATCTCTCCCTGGTTCCGCGGGAAGCAGTCGTTGCAGTAGGCGTCTGTGGTGTGTACGCGACATGGGTTAATTCTCGCCTCAGGACAAGGAGTGTACGGTACTCACAGACTGCGACAGTGTTGATCATGACAGCGACCTCGGCAATGCCCCAGCCCATGACGAGCGCGCCAAGACTGAGGTGCATCTGTACGGCGGATCCGAGGACGACAAAGCCAACGATATAAAGCACAACGGCGATATAGCATGTCCTACGATTCCGCGATTCTCAGCTATCCTGCGCGTGTCCACCAAGTGTTCAGAGGCAGGACTCACCATAGACGGTTCTCGGCAATGAAGACACCGTTGTTGCGTCGAATAGACATATACATCACCCAGTCGTTGAAATAACGACCGAGAACCTCTCCAATGAGGACAGCGACCTGAAACGGGGTGAGCCATCGCAACACACCATAGGCATCCCGACTCACAATAGGGGTCCCGTAGGCACCGGCGATGCCGAACTGGCTTAACCCGAACCCTACGGGCGGAGGGCTCCCAAGGAACACAGCATTCGTGGTCTATCGGAATATCATCAGAATCATCCGTCCCATCCCTCATACAGGACTCTGAATTGCACTCACGTTGATACCAATAGAGAAACCGAATACCAACGCCTCAAAGAGCAGGATCATAAGCAAGTGCGGCCTCCAGACGACATTGAGGATGGAGAAGACGGCCTGGCGCCAGCTGTCGCGGTACTTCGCCATGCGCGCGCCCGTGATGCCGAGCAAAGTCTCAATGCGGTAGCGCAGACGCGACTGGGGACGAGGAATGGGGTGGGGGTTCGGGAGCTTGCGGTCATACATGCTGTTGAGAGCGCGTCAAGGAGAGACTCATTGACGACGGAGAGCACGTACGTCTCCTCGCCGAAGAACACAATCATGAAAATGACGAATGTACCATAGATGGCACCTATGCCGTACGTCCACCTCCAGCTGTTGTACCGGTGAGTCAGGCTAGGCCACAAAGGACTGGAGACGGGGCAGCACGTACTTGATGCGAGCCACAATGAAGCCCATCATGAAGGGCGACAGGAAAGGCGAGATGATGAAACCCATGGTCCAGATGTTGAGCTGACATGAGTAGTCTCCTTCAGCAAACGATATCGTGCAATCATACAAGAGGGCCATACCTTCCTCGCTTGCAGATGGAAGGGGAATAGATCCGTGACGATGTAAAGACCCTGGAGCGACCATGAGCGACCATTCCTCCAGATTTAACGTAGGTACGTACAGTGACTTGCGGGCATGTTCTGTAATATGGCACCGTTTAGTCGGACAACAAAGCACCAGAAAAACGGAGAGACGTACGCGAAGAATCCGTTCAAACACCGCATAGCTGTATGTGGTGTATTGTTAGCTAGGTCTAGGCACGGCAAGCTTCAAGATGGTTACCACGCACCAGTGAATGTATTCAGATTAGGTGCGAAGGTGCATCCCACAAGCCAACCCAACGAGAGAATTTGCGACCAGAACAGGATGGGGAGACGGCCGAACCTGCGCATAAGCATCACGGCGAAAATACCGCCCCATCCTGTCGATCGAGCCAGCTTGGTCAGCGCTTCTCTCTCTACATCCAACACAAAAGACTCATATACGTACCGAGGAGGAAAATACTCCAGCTGAGAAAATGTCAATCTTCAGTTATCCATGGGGCAAGGTACAGGTACGTACTTCGAGGTAAGATCGTTGATGTGTCCAGTGGTCGTATTGAATTGCGTCGCAAGGGCGAAGATATCCGCAATACCAATTCCCGACTCAAAATCTGGCGTAATGGCAGCCAGGGTGATGATGAGCAGCTGGAAGTTCTTGCGGACATTTGACCACTGCGGGGACAGTCAATGCGTCAGTGTCTGTTTAATGACTACGCGCAGACTCACGTTCTGAGGATCGTCAGGGTCATCTAGAGGCTGCGGCCAAAGGACCTTCGTCCCGTCCTTTGACAACTTCAGACGGCTAGCGACAGCTTCACCAAATTCGCGCTTGGCTTCCCTGTACAACAAAGTTCAGTCGTACATCTCATCAGTCGAGATGACCGGACTTACTCGGGGTCGACGACCAAGCGTCCAGCATTATGCTCATGGTAGGACACGAGGTCAAATTCAGACCCGACGTCAACTTGGGAGGTTGACTCTTGAGGGCCACGTCCCTTCTCGTCCACCTCGGAGACACTTGGATCTTGAACGTGCTTTTCGTCCGTCGACATCGCGGAGTGCCTCTTGCTGGTACCTTGTTTGGGTCCAAGGCGGATAGGGTGTCGAGCAAGGAGCTGGTAAGACACTGGCGGATGGCAAACGTCGTCCCTCGTTGGGTCCGCTACTTATCTATGCTTGCGAAACGCGGATATGGACGGCGCGTGGGAGCGACCCTGTGAGCATTCGCAAACATATTCAGTACCGAAACATCACTTACGTTTCCACGCTAGCCCCAGCCCCTTCCTTCATGTCTGACCCCGAGGGATGGAAGCTTCTTAGGTCAGTCATGTGATCGTGGCGCGTGTGCAGTCGCGTGAGCGTCTCCCCCTCATCGAACGACGTTTATAGTCACACGGCCACCTGCGCAAAATATCCTAGCGGGGATCTTGTTGCCTTGCCCCACTCACATACCATATAGGCCGATAGAGTGAAGCTGGTACAAGAGCAGAGGAGGGAGACGCGCCCTAGTTCCTCCGTCCTGGGCTCTGCAGCAATGTTGATCGGAGAACGCCCGCGAGATCAGCGCGTTCGGACGGTGTCTATCCACTCGGTGAGAACTGGTGAGAACGGGTCACTGTGCCTGCCCCGACCTCTCACCCCTAGCATCCGCAGGTAAAGTTTGTTTCTCGTATTCCCACCAATAGAAACATTGACTAACTCGCTGGGCGCAAAGTTCGCAGGGCGAAGTGCGTCCGGTTGTCGTGGCGTTCCGTACGGGATGGAACGTGGGAGCCTTGCAACTTGAAGGGAATGCCTCAAACATACTTGGCTGTGAACAATATAGGCAGAAAGAAATATGCGACCAACAGATGGCAACCCCACAGCATCGACTCGGAGTGCACTTGCGAGCTGCGCCTGCCCGAAGTCCTGATCAATGACGGCGTGCCAATGTCTAGTCGGTGAACGATTGAAATGATCGTCAGTGACGCTAATGCTATATGCGGATATGAGTCCGGACACTGCGTATCGCGGAATTAGCGGCAAGCTAAGAAGCTTGGTTGGGAGACTTACGGCGCGATGCATGTTCCACAGCTCAATCCGTTGCTTTACAACAGGATCTTGTCATGCAAAGCTTTCATAGGCGTAGGCGACGGAACTGAAGTATTCGGTGCGGATCATCGCAAGCACTGTATGGGTTTATCGTCCCTAATTATCGTGTTTCTGCAGTGGATCCTCTATAAATATCGTCTGCAGACTCTATCGGTGGCCATACCTCCTCGCCCATGGTCACCGTGAAAAGCCCGTCGCTTCATGGCTCTTCACGACTTGTTGAGCCCGTTGACGTGTCAATGACCAGTGGCTGCCAATGAGATTTGGCGTGTATTGATGGGACGAAGAAAGGTAAGCAGGGTAGTCTTCGATGTCCGGGAAAGCGGACAGCGGCCTAGGATGATCTCCAAGTAGTCTTACGTTCCGACAGTCTATGTTGTTGCAAGCAAATGACAAGCATCATGGTTGGTGAGCAGAGCAGCTATTTGCGTAACAAAGGTCGCGGGCTCAGCGAACGACTGGGTCTGTCTCCATTAATATCTGCGCAGTATGAGTCTTCTCGAGGTTAACTCCTTGAGACGTTGATGCTCAAGGTTAGTCAGACTCGATCGTGTACGTGCGCAGCCCACTCCGGGAATGCGAGATAAACGGTCCCTTTCTCCGTGCCTACACCGTTTAAGTAGCAGCATTACGCCATGCTGGCTCGGACAGTTGACCTCAGCTCCCATCCCTACATCTGTCTTGTATAAGTGTACAGCAGCATAGTGCTAGCTAAGCACCAGTCTAGGACCTACCAATTGACCAATACAGCCGATCGGTGACCCGTAGCAAGCCACATAGATACCACTACCTATGTCATTGTGCGCTCTTCGTCGACATAGAAAAGCTGTTCATAGGACTCGTAGTCTTGATTTCTCGATGTGGGGGCCGCGCTCGCTGTATTCAACCGGAAGGGTGATTGACGAGGGACCTACGACAAAAGACACGGACGGAAGCGTCGAAAGGAGGGCTGATCTCCACCTAAGTGACACTAAGTATCATGTGAAGCAGTCCGACACGGTAGTCCGAGTCGCCTTGCCGACCTACGGTACGTTGTCACGGTGTGCACGTTCAGGTGATCGGCGTCACAAACGGCGCGAAGGGCAGCTGCCACAGCACGCTTGGACTGACGCCACCATCCTCGTTCTCCGCGCGCACCTGCTCACGTATCCCAACGACATTCTGGGGCAGACATATCACGGACGCGCCGTCAAGTGCGATACAATCAATAGAAGCAAGCACTCGAAGTGTAGGAGCTTGAAGCCAGAAACCCGTGATACGTCTCGCAGCGCTGCAGCCGATGTTCAGCGATCGCAAGGCTTCATTCAAAACGCCGCCCTCGGCGGTCAAAGAAACGCACGCCTCTCAAGAGGTGCGGCGGAATCGAGTGCGTACTTCGCCGTTCATAGTGACGCGATGGTCTGATTGACCCCAGAATGGTTAGGCGCTAGAGGAGCAGAAACGGGTATGCTCCTCGTTGCTCTCCACAAACCACATCTAAACCGAAAAACGTGTCCTCAGCGTCGCGCAGAGCGCATAGACTCCAGTAGACAACTAGACATCTTCGCGGACCTCAGCTTGGGACTGTCCGACGACGAGGCAGGCGAGAATGACGACCCGAATGCTCAGCCAAACATCGTTCGCCAGGGTATCACCCCATTTGCACCCATGTTGCCTCACACAGCGACCCATCCGGTGCCCGCTCCCAGTACTAGTGAGTCCGCGCAGCCTCCTGCCCCAGAGAGCAGCATGACGCAAGAAAAGAAGCGCTCAAAGAATAAGCGCAAAGGCAAGGGGCGCGCGCCGCAGCACCAGCAGGACGTTAGCATGGCGCAAGATTCCGGCGCGCCCCCTAGAGTCGCCGGAAAATCCAAGGTTAAGCACCCGAAGCCCAGCAAATGGGCAGACAAATGCATGTACGCGGAGCTCCTCGAGATGAGGGAGGGCGGGTTCGACGCCCCGGGCGACTTGCGCGACGGCATACCGGACGACATTGAGACGGGATGGGTAGCCGTTACGCCCGTTCCCGCAGGAAAGCGCTGTCTCGCTGTGACCCACCAAACGTCAGGAATCGCAGGCGTCGGTGGGTGGCTTCTCGTCGATCAGCTGTCGGCGATTTGGAGTGCTCACAGTTGCCCACAGTGCCGAACACTACGTTGCGTTCGCGCGTGCTCGGGAAGCCGCTGATAAAGCCCTTCCCGTCGACCCTACCGCCACAGACCGTGCTTGACTGCATCCTCGACGACAACTGGCGCGACAACGGTATCCTCCACGTCCTCGACGTCGTCACCTGGAAGGGCCAGGACCTCGGCGACTGCGAAACCCCGTTCCGGTATGCCTCCAGAGCCTCCCTGCCTCTTCTGCTTGGTGCACTGACACGACGCACGCCCAGGTTCTGGTGGCGCGACACCCGCCTCTCCGAGCTGCCCTCGTACCCGCCCCCACCCAACGCTTTCGCACCCTCCGCGTCCTCTCCCGCTGAACCCCACCCCCCGCGCTACCAATTCCCGCACCCGACGGCGTTTGTCCCGATCCCATACCACACCAACACGACCCTCCCCAACCTCCTCTCCACCCTCATCCCCCTCACGCGTGCGCCCCGCATTATCCCCGTCACCATTCCCGCTCCCGCAGATCACGGCGAGGGCGCGATGGACCTCGACGCCCCGCTCGTGCAGCTGCAGCACACGAGCGCGTCCGTCGCACCCGACGGCCTGCTGCTGTACGTCGCGCAGGCGGTGTACGAGCCCGGGACGAGCCCGCTCAGCAGCTGGGTGCCGCTGCGAGCGTACCAGACGCGCGAGGCGCTGGCGCAGGAAGGGGCGAGCGCCGACGAGAGTCCGCTGGCGGTGTTCGAGAGGTATGTTTCGAGTCCTTCCGCTGCTGGTCGCGCGAGCTGAGATGAATTTACGACTCGCCTGCTTAGGCTCGTCCGGCGCAGACTTGCGTTGGGAGACGCGCATCGGGCTACGCCTGAGGTCGAGATGGCGCCATGATGGCCTCGGCTTCATGTCGAGTGTGTACCAGCGAATAGGAGAGCAATGTCGGTCATAATGTGTAATGCGAATAGAAAGCGCACGATAGCATCTAGGACGGGGAATGCATTACTGAGTATTGCCCGCGCGCACGCGGTTTCTACGAATCTACTGTGTAGTCTATGGATCCAATATCTTCCGTGTAGTCGGGAATGCGGGTTGCGGATATGATGCGAGTGCGGATAAGTAACAATGTCCGTGTGCGTATTTTGTGCACCTCCATCTAGTCGTCCATCTCCTCTGCGAGGGTAAGACGCTCTCGCACTAGTCGCGCGACGGCCGCGCCGTCTATGGGGATCTCGTTGCCCTGGAATCCTTCGGGATAGGCTGGCAGCGGGACGTCGGGCCGCGTGAAGTGCCTATACGCAGATAAGTGAGCAATACGAGCAGATCTCATTGGGGCAGGAAATGCACCTATCGTTCCAGAAGCCGTAGTGCACCATACCCAGGGCCCGGGTCGTATACTCGTAGTCGTGCGCGAAGCCGCCAGGGTAGAAGAACTCCATCACGGTCGACCGCGGCGTGGGCCGCATCCACAGCAGCGCCGTCAGACCGTTCCCGTGCACGCCCATCATGATCTGCGGCCCGCGGTCAGCTTCCCGTCACGCACAGAGCGCATGCGAGGGAAGATGCTCACCGTGGTACGTCCCGCGAGCCGGAACTGCTCCATGCGCGTGAGCTTGTCCATCTCCACGACGTTCACCTCGTACCCGTACTCGTCCCGGAGCCTGTACAGCTCCTCGACGAGCCGCTCGTGGTCCTCCTGCCGCAGCTTCCGCCTGTTCCACCCCTGCCGCGAGATGTACGAGATCACGGGCCGCGTCTCAATCCCCTGCACGGCCGCCGCGTCCGTCGCCTCGCCCTGCAGCGAGAACCCGACGACGTTGTTCCGGATCGTCGTCCACCAGTTCACGCTCCCCGGCAGCGCGAACGCGTTCGCCGCCGTGCGCTGCGTGCGCAGGTACATCTCGCCGTTCATCGCAGCCGCGCGGTCGGCGAGCACGACGCGGTCGAGGACGTACGGCCGGGCGAGCGCAGCGCGCTCCTTCCAATCGTTCATGAACTCCATGGAGAGCGAGGGGAATGCGGCGCGGACAACCCACTGGTTCATCTTCGCGTAGTCGCGCCAGTTGTTGGAGTCGAGGTGTGGGAAGATCATGCGGCGCGGCGCGGGCAGGGAGGTCTCGCCCGAGGGGGGGATGGTGGGGTCGAGCGAGGAGTACGTGCGCCAGAAGCCGAAGAAGAGCTCGGCAGACCAGTGGTAGTAGTGGGTTATGCTGCAAAGGGCAATTAGCGAGCACGCCTAGGTGGGAGGGGAGCCCGGCGGAGAGACTCACAATTGCTTCGGATCGTATGCGAGCCACTAACATGGCAGAGTGGACCGTGTGAGTCCAGATGAATCCAAGAAAAGGTGTACATAGGCTTACTGTTACGCCGTCGAGTCTGTCCGCCTCCGTTCCGAACAACTGTCGCGCTTCTGTGGTGCTGATCACGCGCATGTTCTTGTCTGTCGGCGCGCGTAGAAGAGCCTCCTCCGGGTCGTTTGTGATGAAGGCCGCGCTGGAGAGGATGTAGAGGCGATCTGGGACGCTCTCAGGTTCGTCGGTGACGACATATAGTGTGCCATTGAGGAGGTATAGGCGGTCGAATATCGTCCAACCTGTAGATTCATTCAGTATAGGGTTCCTGTTTTTCATGAAACCAATTTCTGGAATGTGGGGTCTGAAGGGCGTGTAATGGACGGGCGGGAGGATAATTGCAGATGCTGGCCGTGCGCCTCACTGTTGTCATCTATACAGGAGGTAGTGCGGCGGAACCGGGAGCTCTGCCACGGCAACTCTGTGCGCAGTATTCGACACATCGAGCACCGGTGCATGTCCTCTAACGCATCTGCCAGCCCAGTCGCGCGCACGACCTTCATTGTCCCGCACTCCGCGTCTGTCTGCTGGTCTCAGGACCAGCCCGCGCGCTACACTTTCGTCATCAACGTCCCCTCCCCTCGCACCTGAGACATGCTGATCCATTTAACCGCAAGCCCGACTCGTTCCGCGTACATGTCCATGTCCCAGTCGTACACTGTCGGTCACAGTGTTCGCCGAGACCTCAAAGGCGATACCCTTCCTGAGACGCCCGCAGACGACTCGTGGCAGATGCTGCAGAAGGAGGCCAAGTGTAGTACGACGATGAGCATGCACCAGCAATGCTTCGCAAGTAGACTGAGCGATAGTTAAGAGAGGAGATCTCGGAGGGCTAGACCCTGTCAATACAGAGGATGCAGTCGGATGTTCCCTCACGTTTGAGGCATGTCCAGGGACAATTTCGGGGATATATGTCTTCGGTATTGTGTGATGAGGCTCACCTGGAACATGCGCGACGATTTTCGTCTCCGGGACCTGTCCACTTCCCCAGCTCAGGGGCGCATTCAACGCCTGGAGAGTATATTGCGTCTCGAGCGTCAACGGTTGGGTGGCGACTTCTTCCTCGACGATGAACGGCGAGTGAATGAGGTCAGATGCTGTCCCTGGACTCCTATGGAGGGTTGCGGAGAAGAAAAGCAAGCACCCAAAGAGGATCGTGAGCAATAGAATCTCTCTGGGCGTCGGGTGGAATGGCGGCATATTGGCGGGAAAGAGGCCGGAACGAAGCAGCCAATGTCAGCGTAGGGCCAGTTTCTCAGACGAACCAGCGGTCAAAAAAAGCTGTTCAGAACATCGAGCAACGCTGGAACAAGGAGGTAGGTTGGCGAGATAGAGCCAGACGGTTTAAATCCGCGTTGCGGTGGCTGCAGTATGCGGCGCTCGAGCACCGTCAATCTCATGAGCGCTTGGTTCTGCCTGACCCCAGACACTTCTCTGGAACTCCCAGTCTTACATAACGCCATCATGTTGCGCACACCAGATCAGATGTATTTCCCTGGCGAGTCCTAAGTACGCCTTTCTCTCACACCTTTCTACAGTCCGATTGACAAGAACTCAACCCAATAGATCTGACTCTGACATAACCGTTCAAGAACCATGTCCTAGTCTTACATATGACCCGAGAGCAACCTCCGGTTCTCTAGGTCTCTTCTGAAGAGACTCAAAATCTGAAGCACACGTGCACATCATTGGCGGCTTTGAATGACCATGTTCCTTGTACCGAGCAACTACAGGACAAACCGCTGCCATATGGAGCGGCTCGTCCTTCTATCCACTGTCAGCTAGCCGGTCTTCCCACCTTCTTCAGATTCCTGTGATCAGGGCCCAGACATTGTCTTTTCCCTCTGAAACGACTCTATTGCAGATTGAGCGCATCGTCATCCACTTCTTGCAGTATACGGGGGTTCCGGAGACCCTGTCCATAGAGTACTGCTATGACCCACAGCAGCACCCTGCCATGAAAGTGCGACCGTTCTGGCGGGTCCATTGTGACTGCGCTGCGACTGGTAGTTCATGACTGTGAGTGCCGCCACAGCGTGTGTCCGTTCTTCCTCTGGCTTATCGCTACCCTCAGCTGTCACTATCACACGTCTCTTGTCTAGAAATCCGATGTGGAGCCATGTCAGGGTCATCGACAGCAATTGCTTACCCCCTTCTGCAGGTGCCATGTCCTACGTGAGAGCGTAAATGGCACAACTCTTCCCCCGCCATATAAGGGCTCTCGCGTACAAACCAGTCCTACATTGAATTCGCTCGTCATGTCCGACGATAGCCGTCCCAGCCTGGCGAAGGGCTCCATCTCTCTAGAAAAACATACCGGAGGATCTGACGCGTACGAGGTCACCAAAGACGGACAAAGTCCAGCATGTACGCCTCGCGACGAATCCGACGTTTACCAGTTCTTCGTGTCTTATCAGGAAAGCCACGCGGGGAGACTGGTTCTTGACCCAGGGTCAGTGTCCATATATCTTCCGTCTGCTTGTAGCTGACGAAAACCTGTCATAGGTTTGCACCGGCGGAGTTTGGGGAGGATATCGCGAAGCAGCTCAAGCTCTCCCCAGACAAGTCCAAGATCCTCTGGCCTCAGCCTGCGGACGACTCCCACGACCCTCAAAATGTGAGAGATACGGTCAGGCGATTGTGCGGTGGCTGACCGCCTTGGCAGTGGAGTAAAGCGCGGAAAACGCTGCAGCTGACCATAGCAACTCTGGCAGCCGTCGTTCCAGATTTCGATTCTTCTATCGGTCAGTCACTTCACTCTGATGTGGGAAAGAGTCATGACGTTGACATCGAACATGCTCTGGTGGGCAGGCATCGCGGCAGTGTTCGCCATGGCCCGAGATTTTCACACAACTCCTAACCACGTCAACCAACTAGGTCAGAGGTAAAGGATATCCGAGTGTGGAGGCTTCTCGAATGCTTGCTGACACCTTCGCCGCCAGCTGGGCAATCTTCGCGATAGGTCAGCAGCATTAGCATCACAACCGGACAGATCAGCTTCTGACCGTCGCTTCTCAGGCTGGGGCGGGATTTTTGCGGTGATGCTCATCCGACGTTACGGTCGATTGCCGGTGCTGTTCTGGTCGCAGGTGAAGCGAAATGGACAGTTTGCTTATGGCGTGCGCAGCTTCATGATCTTCTGTCGCAGTTGCTCGCATTAGGATTCATGATCGGCGTCACGTTCGCCCCTAACTTAACCGTATCCGCTGGTGAGTAGAGCACACGTGCCGAACCTACTCGCAGCTAACGGGTTCCATGCAGCAATGCGCACTCTCGTAGGGTTCTTTGGGTGGGGTTCCACTCATACAGCTTACGTTCTGGTCTAATATCCTGCCGCAGAACATGCGCTCAAGTTTCCGTGAGGTCCTCAGCGAATAGCAGCAACCCTCTGACCGCTGATGGTATTCAAGGGCTTGTACGTTGTGACCGACATGTACCCCGTTCATCTTCAAGCTCGCAAGGTGCGCGGCTGTTCATCTGGCGAAGGGGCCTGGAGATAGATATCTAACCATCGCATTGAGGATAGCTTAGCATATGGACGATGGGATTCGTCATCTCCCCTGTCCTAGCCCCGTTCCTACTCGGATTTCTAGTCGCGCGTGCTAAGTACGCATCTCTCATGACATTCGGCTATCATTGGCTCATACCAAAGCGTCGCGGATTGCCAGCTGGAGGTGGGCGTACGGTATCGGTACGATATACAACGCTATAGTCATGCTCCTGATAGCCTTTTTTTCGGAGGAGACGTACGTGGCTCCCTGTGCCCCTCGCATTGCTTATTGCGACGCTGACGTGCCGCAGCATGTATGATCGCCACCTCGAGAAACCGCATCCCTATACTACGCCCGGGACAGCAAGATATCGCATCGAAACGCTTCTCGGTCTGACTGGTTACCGAATGGCGCGCTTCCGGCCGTCCTGGAAGGCCGTCGCCCTCGCGCCGCTCAGGGTGTTCTGGCGCCCACACCTCTTAGCGGCACTCTGGTTCGAAGGGGCCATGTTTGGTTTTCAGATCGGCTTCCACGTACGAAGCGGTGCTGTCCGCCTGTGTGTAGAGCGTAATCTCACGCCGCGTTCTAGGTCACGAACTCGGTCGTCCTCGCCAACCCGCCGCCAAATGGGTACGGATACGGCCAGATCCAGATCGCTGCGACATACGCTAGCTCGCTGGTATGTGTACGGTTGTCCTGCAGTATCCCCTGCTGCAAGCCCAAGTTTGTCGCTCGGCGCGCACACTGACTAATGCGAATGCCCAGGGCGCAGTCCTCATAGGCGAGGTTGTGGGGCGATATCTCAACGACTGGCTGCTCGAGGTCACAGTCCGACGTAACAAGGGAGTTTTCGAAGCTGAGTGTCGCTTATGGTAAGAGCACTTCAATGATCATCTGTGCGAGAGTGGTCCGTCATGCTAAAGGCTACTGCGCTGAAAGGGCATGTTACCCCTCCGTGGCGCTTTTCGTCTGCGGATCTGTGCTTCAAGGCGCAGCGTTCCAATTGCATCTGCACATTGCCGTGCTGGTGGTGGGTTGGGTCTTAGCCCAGATGGCGGTCATGATGAATACGTCTGCGATTTGTGAGTGCTTCACGCTGCGTCTTGGTGTCAGTGGTGCGCTGCGCTTACGAGGCCTGGTCTTTGTGTGCGTCAAGACGCGTATTGCAACGACTGCTTCCCCAAGTATCAGGTTCGTTATGTCCGAGTAATCAGTCCTGTCCTATCACTCATTGCTCGGTGTTCTAGGGCGAGATCTCTGCATTGATCAACCTTGCAAGGAGTCTTGGCGGTTTTGGCGTCGCTTATTTCCAAGTGAACTGGGTCACTCGACACGGAGCACTCCAGGCATTCGGGACGGAGGCCGGCATTGTCGCTGGTCTCTTCCTATTGATGGTTCCCGTCCTTCAGATCAAAGGTTCGTACCTCCAGGTGAGTCCTGCATACTCGTTGTCTCCAATGCATGTCGCCCTCAAGCCCTGTACTTGTTCCTGATATTTCTCCGTAGAGCCGCTTTGCTGTGAATTGATAGGTCCTGTCAATTGCATCCGTACCGTAGGTCACTGACGACGCAGATCCCCGCGGGGAAAGTATGTATTGAATGTGGATTTGGGTGAGCCTGAGGTGTCGATCGCCACATGTTCAATTGAAAGTATATTTACACCATCGTTTCATGATGTACATGGAGCGGATCCAGGCGGGTCATGGCCGCCGTAGATGTGATTTGACGTGGGCGATGCATAGCGCTCGTCTGGATTTGCAAACGCATCGGTCAGTTGATATACACATAGCATCACAGAATTCCTTCAGCAACTCTACACCTTGCATCGCGCCCTTCCGTATTATTAGCTGGCATACCAGAGGATTCGCTATGCAGCAGGTTCGCGACCAAAGGACTGGTAACGTCAACGTACAAGATGCTGTCCGGGAGTCCATCGTCGAGACCCTCTCAGCTCCTCTATACGGATGTGAGCCATCACTGTTCAGATCCGAAGTACGATACATCTAAGAAGGCAAGCTGACGACGTCCCTATTCTTCTCTAGCCGTAAATGTCATCGACGTGTGTCTCGATGCAAGTTGTATGTCGCAGCGCGTCAACAGTTGTCTGAGCGATGTTCTCGCATGGACATGTGTCCCCTGTTTGCTATGTATGTTGCTCGTGTGAGTTCAGATCTGACATGCTGATGCTATGACGGTACATGCAAGGTGCATGGTTGGTTGTTAGCATCATCTACAGTCCATAGAACGGGGTTCGTCACTGGCTATCTCTCCTGATGACCCTCCAAACGCTCATCCTTCATCAGTCTGACCCCGTGTTCAGCTGCGTCCACAAGAATGCGAAAAAATGGAGTGCTCAACGACGCCATAGCGTTTCGAAACCACATGTGGTCGTTGCATCTGCTCTTGGCTCCCAAGAGACGGCGGGAGATGAAGAGCAGGAAGAGATGGAAGTTATGACGATGCAGCCCCAGTCCCGAGTCTCTATGCAGATTGGTGGGAAACCTCCCGTAAACTCCGGGAAGCCGGAAGGTACTAGACGAGGTGCAGAGGATGAGGAGGACGGAGAGAGTGAGAGGGCGGCTTAATTCGGGGCGTTCGCTCTCACTTCGACAAACGGCATCTCATTCTCCCCAAACTGTGATGGGGAAGGTCATGATGCGTAAGAATCGCATATAACCAGTGCTGCACATGGCTATCCCAATGGTTTATGCTCTACATCGTGACTCCTCATCGGTCATCTCTAAGATCTCTGGAGCGAGCCCGGGAAGTAAAGACTCGTCCATGACCATTCACTTCTCGTGTGCCACTTCCGTCGCGTCGGGATGACAGCCGAGGACCCCTGGATTTCACATGCCGAAAAGTGATATGTTTGAGCCACCTGGCGAAGACTGAGCAGGAAGCGGGAGATGAACATTGATGCGAGTCTGTGGGTGATGCATGAAAGCGATCAGCCTTAGAGACCCGGATTGAGATGATGGAAACTGGCGCACGGAAAACTAGAGAACGAAATGAAGTTGTTCCCCTGACATCCCGACCACTCACGTCAGCAATATTCCAGATATTCTGTGGCCAAAATCCGAAGCGAGGTCGCTTCCACCGCTGCTTCGGACGCGGACAAGGAAAAGTGATTGGCGGCGACGCTTGATTGCTTGGAGAGTGCACGAGGAAGAAGACATGACGTGCACGACACCAAAAGGACGCTTGCGAGTTTGACATGGAGACTTGCGCCGAGAGTACCGACGGTGTGGACGAGCGTAGGAGGGTCGCGACGTTGTGAAGGATGGGTCGTCTTGCTGGCGGGGCGCCAACGGAAGTAAGATGCGTGAAGTACTTCCTCCACGACGACCCCTCACAAGGGACGCCGGTTCACGCGACTGTCCAGCGAAAGCAATGATGAGTCAAGAATCAACTTCACTGTAACAAACTTGGGACGCATACTTCGGAGAAGGTTTCTCGAGCGCAACCCAGCGAACGCTTCAAGAAGCGCGAGCTCGTCTTCGTCTTCGTCCGCGGGTAATCGATAATCAAGTTCGAATACCACCTCCGCCAGCGTTCCCGCCCAAGAAGGCTCCGAAAGCGTCCGGTCTAGTTCGGCGGTAAACCTATGAAGGGACGCGAGCGCATGTGAACTGTGCTGGAACGCCAACACGATGCTGCGTAGCGGATACCCCTTGGCGCCGGCTGGAAGCTGAGTTATTAGCCAGATGAGCCACGTCCAGTCCGAGGAGACTTCGCGGACTCCCCGGCAGTCGAAGCGGAGCGTGCGAAGGGCTGTGCAGCTCGACAGGTTCAGCTGCTTCTCTGCTTGGTTCGGGTTCGAGTTTCATATCGGGACGACAGTGTAAGCCGCGGATAGACAGGATAAGGCGAGGGAACCTGTATCAGCCCCAGATCACGAATAGGAGGCGTTGAGAATTGGACGTACCCATGACCCCGCGCGAGATTGGGTGGCCAGCAGCCCTCTTGAAGATGCCGAGCTTGAGATTCTCGAGCGTTGAACCCGTGGAAGCCCACAATGCACCGAGTCCCTGGTTCTGGTCATCTAAGGCTATTTCGTAGGAGATTTCGATATCACGGAGGGAGGGAAACTTGTTGTGAGCGATAAGCCAATCTACAGCGGATGTTGGGTAGTCGGAGGAGACCCGTAGGAATGTCAGGAATGGAAGTTCGCATCCGATCGAAGCGGAGGTATCCGAGTCCAGCTGTCGTTGGCAGTCTACATGAATCGCATGCAGCGATTCCAGACGTCCGAGGGCCCGTAGAATGATGGAGAAGTCCGCTACCGTCGTGAATGATACGTCAAATAGGTCTAAGGAAGTGATGGACGAGAAACGGGAAAGCTCTAAGAGGTAGTCCGGGCTGTACCGAGTCGGGAGCCACAGCTGGTTGTGGACTGTGAGGCGGCGAGGCTGCACAAGCGGATATGACGACAACGACAAGGGAAAGCGCCCCGCGATAGACATGGCAGGGCGGAAGAGCGCGAGTATCGAATTTTCCGATATAGATATCTCCTTGATGATTGGAGCGATGTCCGGGGCAGATTCCAGGAGGTGAAGAAGGCTGTCCAGTTGTCCTGGAAAGTTCAGCTCAACAACCCGGAAGAGATTGAACCGGCTACGGGGTAGCCATGCTTTGCAGACCAAGGAGGTTGACTGGAGAGCCTTCTCGTCCTCGATAAAATCGATGACCAGTTCAAAAATCTCTATGGGGATGAATTGTCTCTTCGACATGCTGCGAATCTTTGGTAAGAGAGGACGTTGACAGTTGGGGCGCGTGATGAAAGCGTACCCTGCGTCTTTGAGCAGAGGCTACCTCGGGGTGAGTCAGCAAAACCGCAGCCGTTACAGTCATGACGAGAGGCTCACAAACCGACGCCAACCAGGTTGAGCCCGAACGTCTTTCCTGTAACACAACTTTCTCGTCTCTACGGTCTTGGTGGGAAGTAACCCCACATCGATGTAGTCGAAGCCCAAACCTAGGCTTAGAATCGTTGGTGGCAAGTGCAAGACGGAGGACGCTCGGGGTATAGGCGCCTATTCTCAAGAAGCGCCCGTCACACCACCACAGAGTAGAGGGACTCAGTTGTCAGAATAATTTCTAGCTTACAAAACGAGATGATAGTTGTGGGCTAGCCAACTACTCTGGAACCGTCATGCTTACTATGTATCTGGCAGTACGCAACACTAGAGAGCCCTAGTGGCGGAGGGCTCTGGAGGGTGCGGTCGTCGAACCACTTACCTTGAACAATGTTTACATGGATTGCAGTCCCGATTGAGTTCCTTTGTCGGAGATCTAATACGTAAGCTTGTTCATATTCCGCATTGAATACTTGGAACGTTCGGTCAAGCTCTCAGTACTTGAACATTGCCCTCCACAAATAATGCAAAACTCAGGTGAGGAGAGAAGAGTGGCATACGTTGTCTCCAACGAGCTTGTCAAGGTCAGTCAGTACGGGTGGCTAGGCAGTCAACTTCCTTGCACTGGATATGCCACTGCCAGTGACCTAACTGGGCACCACCCTAGATCTCCTCTCAATTACCGTCGAACCGTAATCGGTCCTTCTTGGTGCATAGCTTGGTGAAGGCCTTCGGCCTCCTTAAACCTCCGGGAAGAGATTCAGTTGCTGGGATACAGCCGTTGCGGCCATTACCTGCACAATTCAAAGAGTTGTCGGCTTACCATGACCGCGACTATTTGGAACGGTTGTTGCAAGGTGAAGTATACGGTGCTACGAATGACACTCAACACACAGAATACGGACTAGAGGAGGTGTATACTATTTCTGCTCGCTTGACTGTGGACGATCACTCATCCGCGTCAATTCGCACTAGGATTGCCCCGCGTTCCCTCATCTCCCGGATTATGTCCGTTATGTGGCAGGAGCCACGTTAGCAGGTACATGTCAATGATTCATTGACATACATACTAAGACGTGTGATGACCCCATTTTCACAGCGGCCAGAGCTCTCAAAGATGACACAGCCGATATCTCTGTTTGCTGGGACGGCGGCAGGTTCGATCATAGTTTGGACTTCGTCTTCTATAGTTCATTCACATCTTCTTTCCAGACATCATGCTCAGAAAGCGCGTGCCTCTGGATTTTGCTACGTCGCCGACTGTGTCCTTGCCATATTGCTTTTGAAGCGCTCGTTGCCAGCGACCACGGAACGGCCGCTTTTCAGGCCTCGGGTCATGTACCTCGACTTTGACTTACATTTTGCGGACGGAGTGTCTGAAGCGTTCTATTCCTCCTCAAAACACTCCTCGTCTCCACAAGTTCTTACCCTCTCCATCCACCATACCGCACCAGGCTTTTTCCCAGTGTCCCACCTTGCAGGCTTGACAGATCCGCAGGATTCTCAATTTGACCCATTTACCCTTTCCTTACCTCTCGAACGTGGCGCTTCCAACAAGACCTTCCATCGTATATGGCCACTCATCGAGCACGTCAAGGACGCGTTCCAACCCCACTACGTCGTGGTGCAATGCGGTGCAGATGGACTATCAGGGGATCCCTACGCCACCTGGAATTGGTCCCTGGGCGGCGAAGGGGGCATGGGATGGTGTGTCGACCGAATATGTCACTGGCCTTCTCGCACCTTGCTACTTGGAGGAGGTATGTCGCTTTACGTAGTGCTTGATCGAAGGTATTCATCGATGGCGCTTCCAAGGCGGATACAACTCGCCGAATGTTGCCCGAGCGTGGACATTTCTCACATCAATTGCAGTAAGCATAGTCTTAATGCTACTTGAAGGCTCAAATCACAATCATTGATCCCTCTCAGCTGGGCCGTATACTTCCGCTTGATTCCGACATTCCTGATCATGGAGCGTTCCCTCTCTACGCATCGTCGTTTACACTCGACGTCCCATCAGGGAACATCCAAGACCAAAACACAGACGCATATCTTGAGCGTGTAGATCAAGTATTCGCACAAGTCGTGGACGCAATCCGAGAGAAAATGCGGTCATCGTCATGACATCGTCTATAAGAGTACATCAATTGTGACATATACGTCGTAATCGTAGCCATCCCAGGACTCCTAGTCCGTCAAAGCACACCGATCCACAGAGAGATTCGCAGGGTTCCCCCACCTGTGCACCATTTTCGTCAGTACGTCTCGTACAACGAAAGCCTCGTGGGCGATTCCAGCTCTGCAGCGAACTTGACTCACCAGGTTGGGAATGGGACGGAGTTCCCGCTCGCGCCGAACACCGCAAAGCTCAAGATGAACAATATTACTTGACTTCCTCCGTCCAGCGCGGCAGACGTGAGGTAGTTGTACTTCTTGAACCACTTCGGGCGGCGAGTACGCGCCCACCACTGGGACAGAAGGCCAATGACTAGACACGACCACCACTGGCCGTTGACTGAGTAGGGCAAGTAGCCGATGTAGAGCGCGATGATGGGAGTGTTGATGAATTCGGCGGCGCGCGAGATCCAAGAGCCCTTCTTAGCGAGCTTGTGTGCAATCCAGAAGGGAATAGGGAAGGAAAGGCCTATGAAGAACGCCATGCCGATGAGATAGTACGGCTTGCCGTATGTGAAGAGCTCCTTTCCAAGGGCGCCCATGGCGACAGAAGATGAGTTGTAGCTCTGGATAATCCAGCCGCTCCACTACGAGAACGTCAGTACGAGCAAGATTCGGAAGCAGAAGCACACTGACCACACGAGTGCCAACGGGGTCAATGAGAGCCGCGCGGTTGTTGGTGACGATCGAATTCATCACTATATGCACTTGAGACTCATTCCACGGCACCAGACTACACAAGGGACGCTTACTCGTGTAATTGAATATAGATCCGATTATGGACCCCGCCATCTGCGCAGCAAAGGTAGCGCGAGGAGGAAGTTTGGTGTACTGGCCGAGCTTCAAGTCTTGCAGCATGTAGAGGCACTGATAGGCCGTGCTGTTGCCGTACAGATTGACATACATGACGGCACTACCGTTCCAATTTCCATCGTTGCTCGTGAATATGACGCGGGTAGGCGCAATGATACGAGAAGTACTTACACTGGCCGGCCGGGGTGCACGAATGCAGACAAGATGTGCATGATGTGCTTGATTTGAAGGGTGAAGCCAGTCGTCGCGGCGACTACGGAGCATATTAGAAAACGATCGCCGGTTCTCATTCGAGGTGATGAAACGTACCGAAACCAATGCATACCGCGATACAACTGCTGATGACAGTGAAGAGGATGACGCTCCATGCTGGGAGGAGCCAATCACCCTTGTTGTACTAGAAGATGATTGTCATGAGTAATCAGCAGACTTATTAAATGCGGGTGCGTACGCTGCAGCCAATGCCGAGCGCAAGAGCGGCGACGAAAAGCAGGAGGTACCACCATTGAGGCACTTCCTTGTATTTCCTCATCTCTGGGTCATGCGCCATCTCAGCAATGTCCGACAAGAAGAAATATGGTAGACTTACGCTGGTAGTGAGGGTCATCAATGTCCTGCGATGACTTCAAGAACCGCATCTTGCCAAAGGCCTTCGTAAGCTCAGGCCAGTTCCAGAGCAGTACATGGACGATGGCAGCTCCCAGGCTAAAGTTGTAGCACATCTGGGATATGACGTAGGAAGTTGTGTAGCGAGGCAGACCAACGGACTCAAGCGCAGTAGCATTGAGAGTATTCTGGGGAGTCAAAATCGCAGTCTGGTTATACCGTCCGCCCTTGTCGTTAAAGAGCGATTGCGACATCCAAAGGATGTCTCTGCCGTTGAACACGTTGTTGTAATAACAAGCGGTGAGCACGATGTAGCCCAGCGCCATACCGACTACCACAGCTGATCAGCTACGGGGAACACCAATGCGAGCGTCGCAGGACTCACTGTACGAGTTGACCTCTGCGAGGTGGTGGAAATCAGCGTGAAGTAACTTCTCAGGATAGAGTAAGGTACGCACGGGTTCGCAAAGGCCATACGAGCGGGTTTCCCTGGGTGATGAGAGTCCAGCTCGTGCTGAAGCTGAAGAGGCCGATACCCTCGTTGCTAGACCCGGCCCCGAATAGATTCCTGACGAATGTGTGACGCCCGTTATCCGCCAGACAAATGATCGAAATCGCGGTCAGGAGGGGGAACGGGTACTGGGGTATCCTGAACATCGGCATAAGTCACCAGTGGCCCGAACATCGTTTACAAGGACGCACCATTCCCAGAAGAAGATCGCCGCAAATACGATCCAGAAGTATCGACTATTCACGGCTCAGATATTCAATGCATCACTGAGTCTTTTAAGGACATACCGCTTCTTGTGGTTCAGCGCCCCACCAAAGTGCAGACTCTGGAGCAAGTTCACCACAGAGATATACGTCGGATAGAAGGCGCTAGTCGGACAAATCGATTAGAGGCTGGCGGCCTGTTCTTCGGACTATTGCGACGTACTAGGTAGGATAGACCAGGAGGGTACGAACTGGTGAAAGAGTCAGCGGACTCGAAGAACAGGGGGAGTAGCACTTACGAAGGCCAGCAATGCCGTAGCCAATCATCTGACTCGCAAAAATTTGGAATATCGCGAGGGCCGGGTGCAACTTGATATCATAGAACAGATCTGCAAAGTAGTCCAGCCAATGCGAGACCACTGCGCACTTGACTACTCACCTAGAGCCGCGATGACCTCCATGGCGACTGCAACGTTTGAAGCTGTAGAAGCCATGATGACAATAGCGGTGTGCTCTGAAACGAACATCAGTGACGACAACAAGACCGGGACATATCATCTACGGACCCTTGATGTTGAATGGCCCGGGGTTGAGGTATCGCCACGAACCAGCAGTCGGGAGCATGCCTGTATTGGGAGTTAACATTCAAATATACTGTACACGTTGAGGAAGAAACGTGCTGTGCATTGCGGTACCCAACACATAGGCGATAATCAGACAAAACAATTGCGACACGCTTGCATTCTAAGAGACCATTCAGCGCTCGTCATGTACTGCACGGGACATATGCTCACCTGGGGCTTGAAAGTGTAGATGGTCGCGAGGACGGACGTGAACGCAGAGAGACCAATACCCAAAAACACCGTCCTCAACGTGAATATAGGCAAGGTTGGGTCGTCTTCGGTCGAAATGACCTGAACAATGAAACAATGCCACGTTAACGCGTAACTAAGTAAGACAAGATGAGAGCGCGCACCTCTACCGCAACATCTTCATCCTTCTTGATAACAACCGAGTCAACGTCCTCGTCAGTGACTTCGAGGGATTCGACATCGATTTTCTCCTTCGTGTCCTGGAAGTCCATGTCCTTGAGATCCTTCTCGGTAGAGCCGAGAGACTCCGACCGCGGTAGCTCAGGTGTCACTGAGATGGTAGAGTCGTCTCGGACGGCCATTGTCGTCGGTTACAGTAGAATGTGGGACGAACGAGGTGATGAGTTGGTGACCTAAACCCAAGAGCAACCCAGCGTATTCGGAGCTGAAGAAGTCTGGTGACCTTGGGCCTTGTGCTTCGTCCGACCACGGGTTCGCATGACACTTCGGCGAAGAATATATAGCTGCGAAAGATGTGGTGCGCAAGGGACCCCGCGTTATCTAGACGAGACTAGGGCGTTGCGATAAGGGGTTCGTAACCGTGACCACTTATCTGAAGAGCAGAGTCGCTATCAGATTAGTCCTACGTACAGAGTCCGCATACAGCTCACCATTGGATTTGTTTTCTCTGTGCGTTTCATGACGCACACGGTATCTTGGGCGCACGACACAAACAACAGACGTGTTGCCACCGACACTTTTACTGGTAGGATGAGACATTGTCAGATACTCTGCCAAGACAAAGATCAAGGCAAGCCAGGAACGCTTCGCAAAATTTGCATTCGCGCGAAGCAGGTGGAGACGATATACTATTGACTCTAACACACAGCTTGAACGAGTGAACAATTTCCCGTTGGCGCACCTGAGATAGTATGAGGGCTTATCGTAACCGATCCAGCACAAGCGGGCCGTTCGCGTGCCCCTCAAGGCCTGCACCCGATTACATAGATAAGTCAACTTCCCACATTGACCATATGCTGTACGATGCGCACTTATACATATCTTCATCTCCAGACTCCTCTCTACTTCCAAATCCGGCTATCGCGTCGCCACTAGCCGCCTCTATAGACCCAAAAACAACGCAGATTAGGTTTCAACATCTGGGAAAATCCAATCTGTGTTTGCGAATCGGAAAGGTCGATCGCTGAGGTTGAAGCCACAACACTAACCTCCTCTCTTTGTCCCTGCTCGACCCTCGCCCCCTTTGTCCCTGGTCTCGATAAGCCTAATCGCTGTCACCGGATTGGCCGCCTTCACCTGGACCGCCGAACGCGTCCCTTCTATCCGTCCCGAAGGGGGACATCCAAGGGACGCTCCGTCCAGTGCACGCAGGCTGCTCTCCTGCACCGTCTCATACCGATACTGCGTCTGCCCCGCAACCCACTCCAGGACGCTGCGCTTTCGGTCCTCCACCGTGAACTCCAGCGAGGTCGGACCCAGCCCGATGAGTCCCCAAGTAGGGATAGGCTGCAGCTGGCCAGGGAACCAGCTAGGGTAGCTATAAAGAGGGATCAGAAACGCTGGCCTCTGGACGTGGCGCCATACCTGCGGCCCGTAGCGGGCTATCGCATCCTCTTGACGGTGATGGTAATCGGCCCAGGCACATCCTGGGCATAGTCCTTGGGCGTAGACGGGTCGCCCGACATATTGGGGTGATAAACACTTGTTAGGACCGAGAGGGGCGGCACGCCAGGACGAGGAAGCGACTTGGCGTAGTTGGGTGCATTCGCCGCGACATCGGACGGCAGCCATTGGGCGCATATGACCGCAATGCAGCCATTGAACGACAGGAACCTCGTAGAAGCACATTCTGGCACGACGCTCTGCTGACTTGGATTTCGTAGAGTGGCTGTGGGTTGTGGCGCGTCTGTCAAATATCAGGAAGAGTGAAGCTGGCGCCCTAGCGGTCACCGACGAGGATTTAATATATGCTTCACCAAAGGATACTTCATGGAAGCCAAAGCAGAGTCTGTGGCTGACGTCGATATGGTAACCGGACACAATCGACTTTGCTCAGTCGAGTGGCTGATGTCGACATCAAAGAATGGTATATTCAATGTAAACCGTACCGACTATCACAGGAATTCCAGGCCAATGCCGACCTGGAAACCCTTGCGCAACCCGTCGCTCTTGCTGGCCACGAGCGGAACACCAAAGTTGACCTCTACACGGATAGGATCTAGTTTGTACACGAGACCGAGGCCGGCCGATATAGACGGCTTGGATATACTCGAGATCACGTTATCGATTAATGGACGAGCTGCAAACAAGGCTATGAGTCTTTGTTTAGGCGAGAGGTTCGTTGCGACGCACACTTGTCCATGACGTCAAGTCGCCCTGCGTTGAGAAAGAGATGTGTTTTTACAGGCCAGTGTGGCTTGCGGGGTATATCTGAGATCAGGCTAACGCCTGCTGACCAGTACAGGTTCCCACCGAGCGAGTCCACTGGAAAGTCAATCTTGAGAACACAACGTCGACATGAGATATGAGGAAAGCTCACCGCCGTCGTGAGGGCCCATACCGTTCATGCGGAACATCCGCACGTTCACAGGCCCGCCTAACTGAAAGCGGTCAGAAAAGTACGACTTCGCCCCGAAGTTCCACAGCGCGCCCGTCCGCGCGGCCAACGATAGCGTCTTGTGAGAGGGAAAGAGCGGTCAGCTCATCACCACCGAACAACCTCCGCGCGTACGTACCACCCCAGGGGATATTGAGCGCGCAAGCTGCCCGTGTGCCTCCGCTTTGTAAAACGAGGCGTCGCCTCCCGCACCGGCCAGCTCTTGGAAGAGCTTTGCGTACGAGCCGCGCGTGCCGATTATCTTGTCATCGCGCGTGTCCCTGGTCCAGGCGTGGTAGACGGAGGACTTGACTGACTGGCCGGCGGCTTCGCGCATGCTAACCGATGCCGAAGGCGCGAGGTTGCTGATGTGCCGCAGGACGGCTTCGTAGCCAAACTCGTGCGAGCCCGTTGGGAGCGTCCCTGTCTGAGGTACAGACGACCCAGGCCGGGTAAGCCACCCGTAGCACGGCATGGAACATGTAGCTGACCTAGCTCACCCTGACGACTGCCCGGAGACCGCGCACACCTTCCGAGCTGCTCGCGAAGCTCGAGTTGTCGCGCTCCATCCCGAACACGGCCACCTCTCCGCGCCTTTTGAGATTTGAGGTGAGCGGTTTTGATAGCGACGCGTTGAACGACATCCGCGTCTTCGTTGCGAACGCGACGTTGGCCTCGAACGTCTCCGCACCACCGAACGCGTTGCGCACGCGACATGTTGCGCTCTGCAATGCAAGGATTTTCGTCAACAACCATTCCACACACGCAGTCGGGGAATTTGCTGAGATTGACGTTCACTACACTTCCGCCTCAGAACAGCCACTGAAAGTAGCCGCAGTGTTTCAGCTGGGTTAGCATGATTATAGAGTTTGGCACATATGTCAATTGCGGGAGCGCAGCACCTCATGTCTAAGCCAGGCAACGTCGTGCGGCTAGCAGGTGACCACTCGTCTTCATTGACGGCAACGTGGACACCGAGGTACTATGTGCGTCCATGCTTAGAAACCTGCGAAGCACTACTGGGGACGTCGCAGTGGTTGTAGAAGGCACGAACGTGCGTCACGTAATGCCTATCTGCACGAATATCCGAGCACGCGACCGGCAAGCAGCGCATCCCTGTCGCGCGGCACACGATACAGACAGCAGCAGATCCGCCTGGACTCGACAACTATACGTCTTATGTAGGCTGAGCAGCGATGTCCCAGGGAAAAGTGCTATAGAGGGGAGCCACTTCTGCCCCTCTACATCCACAAGCCGAGTAGAACCGACGACTCACCGCTCCGCCCTCGTTGTTCCCAACTTGCGTACTCGTATTCAGGAAGTACCTCCCCTTCTCCCTCGTGAGGAAAACCACGTCGACGTCGTCCGGATTGGCGAGCGCGTCGCGACTCCGGTCGATGACGGCCTCAACTTGGCTGAACAGGTCGGTCTCCTCCAGCAAGCTCTTCATCTCCTTCGTCTTGCGCAGTACGGTGCTCAAGGTCTGCGGCTCATCCGGAGAGGGCACAAGGTAAGGGTCGATGAGAGAGCCGAGGAAGGATTCGCGTGTCCGGACGGCGCCGCGTACGCGCACCGACGCGATGTTGAGAGGGGCTGAGAGGTTCTCGTTGACCTAGAAAAGACATCGTTTCGTGTTTGCATGAGGACGAAGAGAGACCGAAGTAGCAACCACTTACCAGGTGCGACAGCTGGACGAGCGCGCTCTCGTACTGACCGCGCAGCTTCCTGAGCTTGCGCTCCTCCCACCACTTCCTGTATTTCTCTATGTCGGCGGCATCCGGCTCCCTGTCGCGCGGCGCGGACGTGTCGTGGAGAGGGGGTTGCAGAGGGGGAGTCGTGGGCTCCGCGTCGGCCATAAGTTAGAGGACGAGGTGGCAAGTCGAGTAGGAGACGGTAAGTGTTTGAGGCCGAGAACGCGAAGTCTAACCGGATTACCGACAGTAACCACTGATAGTTATGAGGTAATAAAACATGCTTACTTGCTTGAAATCCTCAATATAATCAACTTAAGTAGGCTTCGCAGCAACGCGCGTCTATGACCTGAATTGGCCAATGACGTATACTCCCGATTGGCGCGGAACAAGGGTCTCGGCCCCGTTAACCGAAGTACATACAGTAAAGGCCAGGTTTATGTCGCGACTATAGCAGCAGATTTCGTTCAGTCGGACTCTGAGCGTGCAATCCTCTCCTCCGCTCACCGTGATGTCCTCCACGTATGTCCATTACGCAGCTCCCTCCTCTCTACCCTCGGACTACGCCCTTCTCTCGCGCTATGCCGCGGCAAATCCAGGCGCGGCGGCAGGCGCGGACGAGCAAGCCGAGGCGAGCAGCGTCGCACTTTCCTCAGATGTCGACGAACATGAAGACGAGAGCTCCGGGCTTGACATCCACACGAATGGAGTCGGGATAGGCCGGTCTACCTCTAAGAGACGTAGCAGCTTCCCGAGCTCCTATATCACGCCTTTCAACCCCACCATGGGCCCCCTCCCGGACAAACATGGCCACCGCTCAGGACCCCACCCCAAGGATCCCAACGAGAACACGCCGCTACTTGCCCCCCCTGTCCCGCGCATTGAAGAAGAGTGCGATGCGGCCAGCAACGATTCAGCGCGGCCGTTCGGCGAATTGTTGCGCGAGGAGGCGCGGATCCTCGTGAAGTATACCCTCCCAGTCTTTGGGTGAGTTCTCGTCTTGTCATTCTAGTCATCTCGTGTGAGCTCACGAAGGGACGCGCAGTACTCATCTGTTCGAGTACTCGCTCGTCATCGCTTCTGTCGTCTCCATAGGACATCTGTCCACTACTGCTCTCGCTGCTTCTACGCTTGGTTCTATGACCGCGAGTGTCTCAGGTTTCAGCATCATCCAAGGCTTCGCAAGTACATTGGATACAATGCTTCCTAGTGCATGGACGTCTACCCAGCCGCAGCTGGTGGGCCTTTGGGCTCAGAGAATGGGTGAGTGTCCGACTCGGGTCACCGGGGGTGCCAAGTAGACGCGGTCGGACTTCCTACCACCGTATCTTGCTCCATTCACCGGTAACGCACATGTTTCTGGCTGACTTCATCTGTGCATGAACGTTCCAGGGGTCGTGATGGCCGCCTCCCTGATAGTGAGTTGAAGTCCCGCAGCGCGCCTCAGATACGGTCATCGGGCCTGATGATCCAACCTCCGACAGCCTATCATGTTTATTTGGTGGAGTTCGGAAAGCATCCTGCTCTTCCTCAAACAAGAGCCCGAAGTCGCCCGCCTCGCATCCGTCTATCTCAAGTATTCGTCGGCCGGGCTGCCCGCATACGCGTTCAACGCTATATCGCGACGATATTTCCAATCACAAGGTCCGTTCTTGAGGTCGAACATCACAAATACCGCGAGAAATTTTTTAAATGCTATTGGACAGGTCTGTTCACCGTGCCCACGCGAATCATCCTCGGGGTCGCCCCTGTGAACGCGCTGCTCAACTACCTGCTCGGTACGTTTCACAAACGTGCCTCCCTCTATACAGGTGGAAGGACGCATGCTCATCAAACCCTCTTATTGGGACGTGCCAGTGTGGGGCCCGGAGCCGATTCGCCTCGGATTCATCGGCGCCCCGATTGCTACGGCCATTTCGTTCAACCTCATCTCCATCCTGTCCATCTGCTATGGGGTGTTCTTCGTGCCGAAAACCGCCTGGCACCCGCTCTCGATGCGTTGCTTCACTAGCCTCGGCGTCCTGGTCCAGCTCGGGCTGTCTGGCGTCGGCCAGGTGGCGAGCGAGTGGTGGTCCTGGGAGCTTGTCGGACGTAAGTATCGTTTCTCCACCTTGAGTCATGTATTTAGACTCACTGCATACCATTGATAGTTGCCGCCAGCCAGTAAGTTCGCGTCCGTCGAACGTTGTGTCATCTCGATTCTGACAGCGTGCAGGCTGGGACCGACCGCGCTCGCGACGCAATCCGTTTTGCTCGTCTCGGCTTCGACGACGTATCAGGCGCCGTTTGCGCTGAGCGTCGCGGCATCCGTCCGGTATGTACGTACATGCTTCGTGGATTCGGACGATCGCCTCATGCTCTCAACATTAGTATCGGTAACCTGCTCGGAGAGGAGAACGTAACGCGCGCGGCTGTCGCGGCGAAGTGCTCTATTCTTATGTCACTCGTCATCAGCGCCGTATGGAGGTTTGCTTCTCTTCAGACATAGCTAGATATGCAATTAGCTGATGTCGCTCCTCACAGCACGATGTTCATGGTCTTCCGGCATTCGTGGGCGCACCTGTTTAACGATGATCCGGGTACGTCGTTCGTTCCCCCCGTGTCCCGAACGTAGCAGAACTGATGATGCTCGACGCATAGCTGTGGTCTCCCTCGTCGCGTCGATTCTTCCTCTCGTTGCGCTCTTCCAGGTGTTCGACGGCCTTGGCGCCATCACATCTGGCATCCTGCGTGCAATAGGCAAACAATTCACGGGCGCGCTGCTCAACCTGAGCGCTTACTATGTCATCGGTGCGTTGCCCATCCACCTTTCTCTTCCTGCCTTCTGAGCGTTCCCTTCTCTTCGCTCGCTTCCTTGCGCCGCTATTCGGAGCTGACACATGTGCCCATTCACCTCCATAGGCATTCCGTTCGGGATCTGGCTCGCGTTCTGGCGCGATATGCAGCTGCACGGGCTCTGGGTCGGCTTGACCGTTTCTCTCGTCTACGCCGCTGCAATTGGCGTATGGATATGCCTGAAGACGGATTGGGAGCGCGAGGTGGAGAAAGTCCGGATTCGGCTTGAGGCGGACCAGAAAGATATGCAGAACGACGTGGAGGCGATCGAATAGATGGGTCCCGTGGGGAGGTCGTAGCCCACGTTATAGTGAGTTACGAACGCCTAGTCTTACTGAGTTATGACATCATGAAAAGTCACGAAACAAGAGATGACATCTACCTGTAGTCAGAGCTAATGCTGACATCGCACGTCCGTCACTTTGTATGGTGTTTCTTGCGGACATCAGATTGGTGTGGTGGAATAGGTCTGTCTTGTCTACACTACTCCCCTTCCTGTAGTGCTCCTGGTCAGGGACTCGAACTATACCCGTACTGGGTTGTCATCCTCCTAATTTCATAACAATGAGGATGTATCGCTGACCCCAATGGCTACACCCGAATGCTCGAGTTCCTCATATTGCATTCGTTTCCGTTCCGAGCATAAGACATACTGTTGTCCACGAACAAAGATCAACCGATCATGCATAAACACCAACGCGCCCGACGAGCAAACCGGACTCAGGCAACTACGCCTTGACTCGTAATGAAGTCGTCGAAGGAAATCGCTGAGCATAGATTCCAGCTCGATATAGTGATTGTGTGTTCTTTGTAGCAGCAAACTCTAAGCAATTTTGTGAGGCGAAGAGTATAGCTACACTTCCAGGAACTGCCGCATATGCGCCCATAGCCTGGTCTATACTATCTTCCGCAAACGGGCGTGTCTTGCACCCGTCGATTTGGCATACGTTGTCATTGTTTTGTGCGCCCGTCTGTCGCGTGAGGCGAGCGCCACGAAGCTCTGCAGCGCAGGGCGGTTTTCTACAAGAGGTTTTGTTGGTGAGACGTGGACGTAGTGGTTGATCGTGGCAGGTCGAGTCTTCGGTGCCGGCGGAGATGGTCACCGGAGGCACGACCTAGCAGCTCTCTAGGTTGCGTTTGCTCCGCGCCGTACATGGAGATGTACTTCGCGTGCGAGAACAGGACATCCTCGCCATCTGGCGGGGTTAGCTAGTCGATATCTCCAGCGAGAACAGGCATCTCCAAGATCCTCGGCACTGAACTCGAGGGCTTAGCGCAGGGATAGGACGACGTGCATCCGCGCGACATATTGACTCACCCCAACGGCATGCCGGATCATTCGGACACGTGTAGCAGGCTCCAAAGTACTTGCTGAAGTGGCGGCCAGTGTCGCGAAATTTGAGAGTCTTGGAACAGCCGATCCACCGACATCGGACGATGCGGTCTGTTTGTTTCTCGTCGGCTGCGTAGTGCACCTCTCGGAAGTGCTTCCGCGCCGGCTTGATGCTGATGAGCGGGAAAGACGGCTTGCACCTGGCGGTCATCGCGTCGCCATCGACTGCCCCTGCCGCAGCGCACCCGCACTGGTGAGGCTGCCGCTTGTCAACGATGTACCGCTCGGAGTCCTTGAGCGGCTTGTTTCTGACACGAGTCAAGCCCTCTCTGATCGTCATGGCACTAGCGGCGTGCGCTCCTTCCTTCTTCAAGTCCAGCACCTACTTACGGCTCTTCGTGCGGGGAGGCTTGCGAGGGGCTTCTGGCCGGCCTTGTTGTCCCCGCGCGGGTCGATTTTCTGGACCGTGTGAGGTGGTAGACGGGCATGGTCGGGGAAGGATGGTCTTTGGCTTCTTCAATTTCGGAATGTGGAATTTCCCGCTCTGTCCGGGATAGCTACTGTGGTCTCGGCACACTAAGTGGTAAGGCATGGGCAAAGAGAAATGGCGACAGAAGGCGATCATACAGGGTCGCGGTTACTGCCCTAACCTTGCGGCGTAACGATTTCTAACAATGCACGTGAGAAATTGAGCTGACACCACCCGACGACTTGAAACCACTTACGCCACATTTCTTCATATGATTCGTCGTCAGATAGGTCTGACGCATGAACTCCTGGCCACAATGCGGGCACTTATACCGGATCCCGAAATGATCCTCCTCTAAGTGCCGGTTGAGCTGCATGTGCTCCAGGGTGAAGCGGTCGTCGCAGCCACCCCATGGGCACTTCACCTTGGTATCGTAGTCGGGATATTGAGCGACAGTGGTTTTTCTGGGTCGGCTGGGACCCGGAGTACCGAGGCTTGGTGATGAATCACCAGAAAAGTGTTCCCGGAAGTGGGCGCGAGCGGTGAGAGCCCCGAGACCTCGAGGACTTCACTGCAGCCGCGCAAGCCACAGGTGAGCTGCGAGTGCCGGGACACCAGGTAGGGACATGGGTTCCCCCTGTCCTCGTCTAGAGCCTCGGGCTCGGGAGAAGTGAGAGCGGGCCTGTCCGTTTCCCTTCGGGCCCTCTTACAAGAGACCACCTGATCCGCATTCGAGCCACCAGCATTGTCCGCCCGGCAACGTTTGGCGGGCCTTGCGGGTGGGGTCGGGAGGGGAGAGAGTGATGTAGTTACCTCCTTGCGCTTGCCCTTGTCGGAAAGACGGGCTTGAGGCCCGGGCAAGAGAGGTGCAGCGGCATTCTCCTTGTCGTCGGTATCGTCGTCATGGACGGGGCTGGGGGTGAGGGCGGGAGATGGAGACAGATAAGGGAGCTGCCCTGGAGCCATAGGAATGGATGGATGGATGGGTGAGAGGTTGCCGAGGGGCGCCGTTGGAGCGAACGAAGCCACCGTAGCGGGTTGCATGGTGGGAGAAGAGGGCTGCGGGAGGGTGAGGGTGGGGGTGAGGGTGAATGTAACGACGGGCGTGGGTGTAAGGGCGGGGGTGCTCGTTAGAGGCTGGAAGACGTGTGAGGGCCGGCCGCAGTCGCCCCACAGCATGATCAGCATCTGAAAAGCTATCGGTTGCGTGTAACAGCTCACCTCGTTCGCGTCCTCTCTCCCATGCGAGGAGCTCTGGGGGTCTTCCCCGCCTTGCTGGAGTGACTCATCAAGTTCTGCCAAGATGAAGCCGGTGGCGACGAGATCTCGGATGAAATCGTCGTCGGAGTTGGTGAAGTCGTTGTGGTCGTAGGACATCTTGCGGGCTGCAGACGAGAGTAGATAGGACCGCATGGGAAAGGGGATATAGGAGTTAGAGAAGAGTCCAGTCGTAGCTAGAAGATGGAAGTTATATGTTGAGATAGCGGAGACCGCAGTTGATTATATTATGTTCATAATGGGCGAACGGCAGGAGGCGACGAGATCCCAGATGAAATCGTCGTCGAATTTGCTGAAGTCGCCGGGCGAGAACACGCAGAGCAAGAAGAGTACGATGAAGAGGTGAAGGGGCATTCTCCCTTGTCGTGGCTGTGGATGACCGCCCGGATCACGCTGTTCGTGGTTGCGAATTGCTGCGAGCGCGTATCGCAGTTGGGGATACATGCGAATAAGGCCGGCGGATGCGTATGGTGTCCCTCCTGACGTCTTCGTTTGGAGGGAATGTGAGGAGCCAATATCTTCGCGTCCGGTTTCGCGTCGCCGACGCCGTAGGCATACCCAAGACCCAGATGCAGAGAACGTCGCGGTCGCGGTGCAGGTCACCTGAGAGGCCGACCGGGAGCGTACTCGTACGTACGCCGACTTTATTACGCGGTGTACGCCGATCCGCACATGTTTGTGATTAGTGTGGCCAGGTATGCAGCAGGCGATGCCACTACAATCGTGCGTTGCGTCCGGTAGACATCATCGCTTCTCACCCTGAGGTCATTAGTTCTCACCCCACCACCACTGTCTCGTGTTTCCGACGCAAGTGTCCCACCGTCGCCAACGGCGCGATGAAAACGCGCCTCCGCGCTCGATCACTCCTATCCTTCGCACACCCATTCATGGCTCTCTGCGGAGAGTTCTACGGCCCACCAACGGGTCTCTAGACGCCAGGTCAGCTGCTTTCTCCAACACAGGCGCGTCCAGTTGCTCACCACTTCTTGTACTCTTGAGGCCCCTGCTCCGGCCCAGCATCCCGTTGTTGTGCCGGTCTGCACTGTGACTCGCTGGTGGTCGTGTCGAAAAGAGTAAACATGATATGACGGATAGCCGTAGTTTTTCGGGACTGTGCGAGCATCGACGAGGACTCGTCACGCTAGTTCCGCACCCTGCGGCGAAACCCACACTTGCGATTGCCGATCTTGAGGAGGTCGCCCGTCCATGGACTCGGTCGCACGTGGAGGTATGGGCGCAGGCTCTCGAAATGGTGAAGGAGCTACGCGCGGACAAAGTTCAGGCGCTGAAGCTAGAAGAGAGCATCCTCCCTCGGGCGCAAGCGTTGAGGAGAAAGAGGCGGGGGACTCTATTACGAACGTGAGTTCCGTATCTGATTCCCCTGCGAGCCCTTCTTCCTACCGAGGTACTGCGGAGCCACAGGCGGGGCCATCATCGTCTGCGCTCGAGCTCGTTGATCCCCCTGCGGGCAGAGAGTCCGATACAGATGTCGACGAGGAGCAAGGAAGCAACTTCGGCACGAGTTCAGAGGCTCACGACTGGGGGAATTGTGGTGATTCGGATGATCCGCCTGGTAGCGCGTCCTAGTGCTCCAGCGACGAGAACGTGCACGAGCCATTGAGCAGGACGTCGGACGAGTTCGTGGGAGACAGTGAAAGATGACTGCGAGGAGTTCGAACGCGACAGCAAGGCGTCTGGTTCCCAGTTCGCGGACGACAACGTCAACGATCCCCAGCCGGGAGATGCGTTCGTAGTCGACAAGGTGTTGCAGCTGCCTTCTCTCCAGAGCTTGAGACCCTAATCGCGTCGGGAATCTTGGTGCAGATACTCAAGCAGGTCAAAAGGCAGCTAGTTCCCAGATAGCAGCGTTCGACGGTGTAGTCCAGCCATAAACGCTGGAGTTGTGTACACCCGTCCAGAGTATCGAGGAGCCAAGACTGAGGCGGCCCTACAAACGCGATGCCCGACCTGTAAGACGCGGTGTAATAGAGTCTCCTAAGAAGATACTATGAGGTCCGAAGGGTGGGCGCAAGACGAGGAGAAGGACATCGGAACGCGTGAAAAAGGTCCCGCTGCCCTCCGCCCCGTCCGCACACGAGCTTAGGTGACGCGCTACCTTCGTGGTCAGAACATCGGACGCTTACAAGTAGGAGATGGTGAGACTTACCTAGATGCGCTCACTGCAGCTGCATGCCTGGATCTGTCACCGGGGCTTCTGGGTAGAGCACTCCTCATATTTATAGACCGCGGACTGCGCGTACTGAGCGCTTCCGTCAAAGACGACCTCAACCGCCATTGTCACTCAATGAGATGCAGCTGTTTGACTGAGGCCGCTCCTTCGACTAGTCGATGGACGTGACACCAGTGCTGGGACTTCAAAGACTGGAAGATGCAGGAGCACATACTTAAAGGCCTTTACGTGACACTGAAGAGTGATCACATATAAGAGGTGCTAGGGACAAAGCATCACCATAAGTAGATCCAAGAGCTATGTTGTGCTCGATGATACAAGCTGTTTGTTCATGCAAGCTTGACGACCTGGTGCCGTCTGTGAGTCGTCACGTTTCCCCCTCCTTGAAAACGTGGATCACAAAAGGTGCTTACCAGGGGTGCGATTAACGTGAAGGCATGCCAGTGCGCCACAGGAAGGCAATGAAACGTCGCCATCGGCAGCGCTGATCATATTTGTTTGGGAGAGCTTCTGAGAAAAATCGCAATCAGCGGTAGCGCTACGGTCGTCATACAGCATCATAGTATCAGCAGTTGGATTACTATGTTGAACTTTGCAGCGGGCGCCACAGTTCCAACGAAGGATGGATTGTGTTGGAATATTTGATATTGGTGATTCTGTAAGCAAGCGTGGACAGTACTAAGAAGAATCGTAAGGCGACTGCGAGTGGCAGGACCGTCAGCACGCCCGGCACCATCCGAGTGGCGTCTACCTCGGCGCTCAATAAGTAGCCAGCACATCAAAGCTCGGTCACTTACGTACGATGACAATCAGATCGCATTCACACACTTATAAGTCTACCTTCTCGACCCCTATACATTCGTATCTATATCGACAGTCCGCTGCACCTTTATCGGACGTTGGCATAATTCACAAGGATTAATCGCATCTGAGTCGTCGCGAAAGCGCTTTGGCGAGACGAAGAGTACGCGGCCTCCTGAAAGAGGCTGGCAACGGTAAAGCAGTCTGTCAATGATCTAATACATGTGCTTTGAGACAAAAAAAAACTGTAGTCAGGAAGCGAGTAAGTCCGTGCTTCTTGCTGTTTGACCACCCGGGGGAACCCCTGCAATGCCGGAAGCCATCTCAACGTTTGAACGATTCTCGCGTGCAAATTTATCTCAACTACACAGACCGTTGTGTGGCATAGCTAAAGGACACTACTAGGCCTAGTGTTCTTGGCAGAACGCTGCTAATCTGCCAGAGGCAACTACCAAGCGGCAATTGCCATTTTGCCCGCCACCGAGACCGGCAATTTGGTGGCAGATACACGGCGCTTGTCGAGCGCTTACTGTTAATGGAGCCGTTACCGGTCGCCCACAGAGACAGAGTAGCTCAGTAAGAGACAGTCCTTCCACTCTATACTCTGGGGAGTGTTTCAATATAGCGGTATGTGTTATGAGCGAGACAATTGATGGCCGCCTTATTGACTAGCTTGTCTTGAGAAGTCATCCCGGCGCCTGACTGATGGGCTGAAACTCTCAGCTAGATGGGAAATCACCTGTATGAGTGTACTCTGTTGCGGGAAGTGGATAGACAGCAATATCTATGCAGTATTCATGTTCTAAATCTTCACTAAAGAGCATCGGATATTTTCTGTGGCCTCAATGGATAGCTCTAATCACTCTCCATCGCCAGAGGCTCCCCGGAGCGCCCGTTGATCTGCCAGTATTTGCCGGCCCTGGCAATTGCCATATTTGCCAATCTGCCATTTGCCAGAGGCCGAAACTATTCTGCCCTATACACTAACTAGGCCACTAAGAAACGGGCGCGAATCTAAGAACGATCTTGCCGGACAAAGTCTTCGGAAGCGTTCTGCCCGAAACAGAAAAGGACCCCCGATTATTCTCCCAAAGGAATGATGCCTGATCCGGACAAAATTGGCCACCCAAAAAGGCCTATGCCTGATCCAATCCGGCCAAATCGACGTCCAAATTCTGGATGGCCTGGTGCCAAAGTCCGGACAAAACTGGTCCAACCAGGCAGAGGCCTGATCCCCGTCCGCCCTTGGGCGGCCCGGTGTTGGATGATAGCTACCCGGTCCTGACCAACAGTATCGCTCATTGATCACCAAGGCTTGCAAACCGGTGTCGCTATCTCTTTTTCCTTGTATCCCGGAACGTAAAAGGACGTTTCTGCATTTCCGGCGGTGAACTGAGAAATTGCGCAAGAAGCACTGGAGGGCAAGAGGTAGGGCAGTGTCACAGCCAACGAGCTGTGCCACCAAAACAAACAAGGGCAAAGCTTACTGATGCAGAGGTTGGTGCTGAGAAGCGAAGCAACCAGAGGTGACACAGCAAGAGATGTGAAGAGATGTATTCCCTAGACTAGAAGGGGTAGTGAGGGAGGTAGGGCTGCTAGCTACCTACAGAGGAGATGGGGAATCGACGAGAAGATCAAGTCTGAGGTTCCCTGCCTCAGACTCCCTACTATATATACTAATACAATGGTGCACAGACCAGGTACCTATTGACTATCGTTTGGTCAGAGTTCTCTGCCTCATGTCCTACCCTCTGACCTGCCTCATGGTGACCTTACGACTAATACCTGAGTCGTGCCGAGTCCGGACCCCTCCCAATGAGTAAGCGCTCCTGCTGTCACATCAGTCACCTGCCTGTGAGTGAGGATGGGGCGCT